TCAAGCGTTATTCTATATTTACAACTAGCTATCTAAACTATTTTAATAAGTAATATAAAGTAAACTTATATATTCAGTTAGTTCTAGGCTCATATAGCTCGTGAGACGAGCATGAAGAGTATAAGCTCGCTAAGCTCATTGAACAAGTGAGATAAGCGGGGCCTAATTGGCTACTTAGATTATGGTTAATCCGGTCGCACCTGGTCGGTTGGCCTATTGTCGCGACCATAAGTGTTAGGTCGTAATAACTATAGGAAAGCTAGGAAAGCTAGCTTTTTAATATAATCTAGAGTATATAATTAAATATATAAATTTACTTTATATTACTTATTAAAATACTTAAATAACTAGTTATTATTAATATATAGTAATTAGATTAAATATTTAGATATTCTATTTACAGTTAGTAATAAGTTTGCCTATTTACTAACTTGACTACTTTACTAATATAAACCTTAGAATTATTTAAAGGTTTGTCCCTTGGAAAGTACTGTCTATACTAACCTATAGGCCCTGGTTTATTATACCTTAATATATTAAAAAAGAAAATATATTTTAAAACTACTTATATTTAATACCTCCTTAGTAATAGAGGATATAAGGATTTTTAAAAATTAATAAAAAAAATAAGCTTATATAGCCCCCCCTTTATAAAAATAAATATATAAAATAAATTAATATTTCCTTATTTCTTTTATTATATTAAAATATAGTAAATACTTAATTTAAACTTAGCGGCTTCTACCGTCCTAGTACCTAGATAAGGACTTATGTAACTAGCTTACTTAGTAGACGTTAATAATAAAATAAATAAATAAATAAACTATAGCGTATACAGTCAGTAATACAGAGGATTGTAAGCTCCTATCGACAAGAGGAGGTTGGATTATGCATACAGTGTACCAGGGACTTCATTAAAATACGCCATCCTTTCGAAATTTCACCACCTGCATCCTCTTATAAACCCACCAGAATCGGTCTCTACTAAGATTTGTTGGACAGGGCTAAATGGGGGGATCATGCACTCCATAGTGTTTGGCATAATGCTGTAGCATCCGCAAATTTTTTTTAGACTGCTCGGTGACATGGCATGCTTCGATTTGTAGCTGACTGCAGAGCTGTCATTGCCGTTCAGAATATTCGACAATTCTATTGATTAGATGATACAAATCTAAGTAATCGAGCCGCAAACTATGGTAATCCTAAAACGTATCACGGGTAGAACTCTTGGTAAGGCACTGCTGATCACCATTTTATATGTGCAACTTCGGGACTATTCACTGAATCCAAAGGCATGAACGATCAACGATGGCGCCCGTAGGAGTGACTGCTAAAATGCACTCTGCGTTGTACACTGATTATATCTAAATCAAACCATGAATCATCTCACATTTCAAAAATTCTCGTTCATGATCAAATATGTGCGAACAGTTTACCTCAACGCAACAATGGATTTATCGAGCAAATATTAAAGCTGTCACCTTAATGATTGGTCACATAAGCTGCCCACCTTATACCATACTTCTCTCTGCTGCATCTACGCCACATGAGATCTGGATTAGATACCAACACACAATTTGCTGCATCGGAAGTGTCTCGGGTTTCAGGGTAGTACCACCTATGCTGCAGAATCGTGCCTGAATCTTAGACAGTCGCAATCAGTGATCCAGCGCCACTCTTGAAGATTGTGCCAAAGTAGGTGAATGTACGGTGCATTTTTCAGTTCAGTGACCTCGCCGAACTTCGCCCTTTGTGCAGCATAGAGATATGTGCAAGCAAATACATATGTTGACTTGGCTCCATATTCTGATATCTAGAGATATGTAGCAAGATTACATGTATATTGTATAAACTTCTATCTAAGAGAAACCTACGAAATACACATACTATATGATGATTAGAACCAGCATGCCACTTTATACTGGTAAAACAGGAATTTCTGGTTCTAGAATAGGAATCAATGGTGAGTTATATTAAGATAGTTGGTTCATCTTTGGAAATTATGTGCGAGTGTAAGATGCTGGACATTATTGCCGTGTATCTCGGAAGTAATTTTTGAAAGACAATCAACCTCGACTTTCAATCATACGGTTTGCTGAGTGAACACTTTGAACTGCTATCAGAAATATAATTTCGATACGTAAAACGAGAGCATAGAGACAGCCGATGACAACCGGACCAAGGCTACTATGCCAATTACCACAAATTGCCGACTGTGCAACATCTAGGCCGCTGCGAACAAAGTAGGCTAAGGCCAATTAAAATAAGCGCCCGCATTGATACAAAACCGCCGTTAGAGGCGTGTAACATCTGTCGGCTCAAAGGAAGTGCGAGCTTGATGATGTGGTGAGACTGCAAAATATCGCTGCCGAAATCGGAGAAACTACACATACCAGCTTTCCGTGGCGGCTCATAGCTAAGGCCAAGCTTGCGTGAGATATTTGTCGTCTCATACAAGTATGTCGGCGTCTTATGGCAGACGATGAGGGCCCACACACAACTGACAGCTGAAGAAAGCTCCGATCCTAGTGGCGCCTTCAAAGATCGACAAATACAAGCGGCTCGTCTTACTAGAGGCCCACGCACATGTTTTGAGAACCTGAAGGCTGCAAGAAGCATTGCCGACGCGAACAGATTCCACTTTGAGAATAACCAAATTGCTTCGTAAGCTGCCGGAAAGGAATGAATCCTCTCTGTTGGAAGAGCTGTAATTGAGATTATGTTAGCCTAATCAGAGTTACACTCGGGATTAATCTGCAAGGTAATACGTACCACCAGGCGCCCAATTACATCCAGAAGTTCTCATCTACCAGTCATCATCAGCCCATCCACTGTATAAACAAAGTACGAGCTGATATATCATTTTAGAAGTGGGCTGCAGGATATGACTCTATATTGAGCTGATCTGTAAGGAACCGCACTTGGTATCAACTTGCGCAATAAGGGTGTTCCTCTCACGTGCTACAGAACCTTCTATATCTTCCATGAGAGTCTCGTATATATCGCTAAGGCAATATTAGAAATGTATGGTCGTCTTTATGTTTTGCCATCCACATGATATGATATGCCGTGAATCCCGCGGCATAGAACCTTGATATTAAAGAGTGATGCCACTAGATCAGCATATAGACTACTAGGAATTACATAGAAGCTTCATGGATGGTAACCACAAATAGATGCTGCAACGTATACTCCGAATTTTGGAGCGCTCATGTCCGATCTTATTAATTAGACTTCTGATTCAGAGAACAATGTTTTAGACAAGATCGAACCGAAGCTGACATCAAAATAAGATACACTAGATGATTCAGCCATACTTTCCTTTAATATTCTCACTGGCAATCTTTCGTAGGCCATCTATTCAGAGCTAACTATAATTAGGATTCCTACATCTAATCATATTGCTGGGTGGCGTACTCTGGAGTTCTGACACTCTGTCTCACTGACTTCGCCTGATTACAGCTTTAGTGATATATTCCGTGCATGTGGTAACAGATATGGACTTGTAAGTGGGATAATATGAAAAAGCAAGCGGTTAGACTAATTGTAGGTTCGGACTTTCCGAAAAGCTCTTCAAAGTCGAATCTGGTTACAGTAATCATCTCGCAGTTCCAGAGAAGCGACTATACGAAGTAAAGTTCTCCAAACATATAAGCTTGGTTGCTAAAGTCTATGCTGGTTTTAACTCTCTATGCGTCATTTTGAGGGTGAGCTTCTAGTAGAAGCAAGCTTCATTCATAACATATGTCCTCAGTAAACACTCACTTTCGGTGTAAACGCCTGCTGTGACATCAATGTTTTGTAGGTTTTGTTGCCTCTACGCTAGTTATTCATGGATAATGCCTCATTAAAGTGCAAAGGTGACATACTAAAGTTATCCGTGATGAACAATATTATTCCACGCCTGATCTATGAAGCTTCCGCAAAATATATCAGAGTATCCCATCTTCACAGTTGCAATAAACTTCCGAATATATATTAATGTGAATTTACTTATAATGATAGCTTGACGTTCACATCAATATGAATAACTTAATAGGGATTAAAATGACCTCGATGGCATGCTCCACTAGCTTGAAAGAAGTCATCGTAAAAAAAGACAAGTCTTTACATGATGCCAAATCTAGGTTTATTTGCCATCTAACGCGTTTGGAACGAAAGAAATTTTGCTAATTTGTATTATGTTTTCATGTAAAGAACTTGTTTACTTGGAGTTCACGTCCACAAATGGATGGTTCATCTCATGATTCAACCTATGTCAACTCACCGATATGCGTAGTATGAGCTAGCAATTACAACGTTTCTCATAGCCACAGCGATTCTGTGCGTATCCTAATGGGTCTCGTGTCTTGTATAGGATATGTCTCTTGTAGCATCAACACCACACAACAACGGACCTCTTTAGTTGATGATCAACTCCCAAATGTACAATCGTGATTCTGCCATCGCTCAGCCGGAGGCCACATTGTAAGTTCTAGTTCGGTGGCTTATTCTCCAATCACGCTGGCCAGTGTAACGTTCACTGCATACTGACAGTCCACTCGCTCTCTTTGCGACATCTCATTGTCAAACGTCAGGTTTCGACATTACAATCACAATAACCCCGCAATGGGGACTACTTGGCACCCATTCAGGTGTATCAAAATGTCTCCTGCTAGAAAATGTGAGTATCTAGGAGCCTTGAATCACAATGTGGCACAAAAAAAAGAAGTTGCGACTCTCAGCGACACCAAAGCATTGAGCTATGATGCACAAAACAGCTGATTCTCCTTTATTCACATTCAAGCTTCCCTCAGCCAAGATGTTATAAAATCATGGGCGTCCGTCGTTTTTTATTGATAGAAGCTTCTTAGGAGAACCAAGATTCGCAATTCCAACGCTTCGCAATATCACTCCCAAGAGACAAATCTCACATCTCAACAAATTAGTGTGTCCGAGGAGTCGTTCAATCAACAATGTGCTTTATCATCGTTACCCGGTGCCTTATATGCTATCGTACCATGCAATGCAACGTAGTTCCCTGCAGAAAGGTGGTTCATGCTCATCAAACGTGTGGCGAGCGTGAACAGGGTCCCGACAACATCTCAGATGTCATGTGCGACAGATGCTACGCCAGAACCCAGCCCGAAATCCCAGCTCCTTCCCTGAAGGATAAAGCAAAGTATTACGCCAAAAAATTCACGCCTGGCGGCGGGTCCTCATCCAAGGTGAGTTTGAGCTGCATCCGTACAGAGATAAGCCAGCGCCTTTGTTGGACGATCAAACACTAGAAGAGCTATCTGAGGCTGCAAATAAGAAGCATCAAGCCTCGCAGGCCTCTTGCCTCAGTCAATAAGTGAATAGTGTACTGAACTGGGCTTTAGTAGCAAATCCTTTCGAAATAGGCGTCCACGTATAAATCACCTACCAATGGTCTCTGACGCCGGCGGCCGGGTTCCACGAGTTGTCAAGGCCGAATCGAGTCTTTCTAAGCAATCTGATGACAACCATGAACTATCCCAAAGACTTCTCTGCATTATTGGCTGAATTGGAGCGAAAACGAACCAATCTCTCTTTATGTTACTGCTTCAGCTAAGATTCTAACGAAGTATATGGGAGCTGTGGGGCATGGGTGGTCATTACATTCTTTTTCACAAAATCGGAAGCAGTAGGGTAGGTGATGTGGGACGCTGAAGAGCAACTTTGCCTTTTGAGTATAAATGGTTATTGCTTTACTTGGAGGCAAAATAGTCAATAAAATCCATTGATTTGGAAAAAGAAATGGCAAAAAGAATGTCCTCGGTGAGGCTCGAACTCACGACCTTCAGATGGCCCAAACTGGTTATTTGGATCATATTGAGAATATGAGACTGACGCGCTAGCCAACTGCGCCACGAAGACTTGTTTCTTGACGTTTACAGACCAATCTTAAACTATTAAAGTTTCACAAGCCTACGGCCTTGAAAAGTAAAGAATTTGGGTGATGTCGCTGCCTGTCTAGGAGTATTGACTTTCTCTTGTATTGCGCCATCCGCTTTGGAGAGATTGATAGAATTATATACATGCTGTAGAACAAATTCTGTAGAGTTGAGCAGTATGAATGAGAGCAGCTTTTAGTGCTACAAGCTCCAAAGTGCTGCGGCTAGAGGCTATTTTCCGTTCTCATGCTACTTCGTATATTTGGCACAATGATCACCTCAACTTCTCTTTATGATGAAGGCCAATATGTGTTAAGCCTTTTATGATAAATGTTCATTTTCACCTGAATTTACTGTCTATCAAATCCGAATATGACATCTTACTCTCATAATTCCCAATTCTCAACTGCTGCACTGCTCAAATACCCCTCATTCAGCTCGCGTTACCACAGCCACGCTTGATGAGCCAGTTGAGCTGAGCTACATGATAAGGCTGAATTACAGCTCAAACTAGGTATTGATCTTGGCATCGAAAACGCCTATCGACATCTTCACCCTTCATTTTCCTCCATGAATCACCAAATGCATTTTTGCAACTCACGCTTCTTCTGCTTCACTTAGCTTCACGCATTCCACCATGTTGCAATTCTTCTCAGATTATGCTGCGGTTCTTCGATTCATTGCTGGTGCGAAAGGATTCCATGATCCTCGGAATAGATACTTTGCGAATAATTTCTGGACAAGTATGCATATATGTGGCATCATAGCCGCATATATCTGGGCATGGTATTGCCGACCCAAAACGAGTCGACCGGCATTCGTAGCCCTGAGGAAGGCTTTCATCAAGGACAACAAATCCAGACTTGTCGTTCCAGTCTTCAAAATCATATGGCTTGTGCTGTTTAGGACAAGAGGTCGTGGCCGACGAACTTTCCTACAAATAATGAACGGTGTCGTCAACCTCACATGGTGGGGTGCGTTTGCAGCATACGGATTTTGGGTCTTCGAATACGAGTTCCTGAATCACTGTGCATTTCTATATGGGACAACCTTGCTCACTATCTTGGTGCAGCTTACTGTTGGGGGGAAACAGGATTGGACGGTTAATACCGAGCTCGCCAATTTACGATACAACACAGGCTGGTCAACTTGCCTTTACGTCTTGCTGAGCTTCTTGCTGAGCTTCTGGATCGGATGGCTCTACAGTATCTCCAGGTCTACGGCTGTCTTGTCTCCTTTTCTTGATCATTTTGCGATAGTAGGATACTTTGCTCTGCCCCATTCCACAACAATGTTCATGATTCTCTTTCTTGCACGACAGGACCGATACATATATCTCTCTCCGGAAAGCCCTTCAACGACTTCAAAACATCCCATTCAATTTTGTGTACTTTGCAGTCGCACTGTAGTAAAGGCTATGAAAGAGCGACATGATTCTCAAGGTGCTCATCATTGGACTTCTGGCTCTCTCGCCGCATCGGTCAAAGCTGGCTGTCGTGTCTGTTCCACTGTTTGGGAACAAAGAAGGGGACTGAAACGCGATTTTTATGGTTTGGAAGCCAACAACATCATTCGAAGCTTCTATCCTAGGATTCACCATCATTTCCGAGGAACCTAGAGGAGAATATTCCGCAGCAAGATGTAGTTTCAAGCTGGCTTCATTGGAAGCTAGTGACATTGCATCTCAACCCTTGTCCAATAACACGGGATCGCACACCTCTTTGCAACAAGTCTCTCAGTGGCGACAGATTTGTAAGACAAACCACGCCCACTGTCGCAATAAACGTCCTACAGACGTAGCATTCAAGCCTAGTAGACTTTTGTTTCTCCAGTCCGAAGGGGAGAGTATCCGAGTGCGGCTACATTGTTCAACAGAACAACTTCCAGCCGTTCCATACACGACCCTGAGTCACTGCTGGGGCGGAGGCAGTCCACTGCGACTCGTAAAAACATCACTTTCCGCGTTTCAGCAAAACATTGACACAAAAAAGTTACCAAAGACTTTTCTACAAGCTGCACAATTGGCAAACTACTTGGGCTGTTCATATCTGTGGATCGACTCCTTATGCATCATACAGGACGACTGGGATGATTGGCTATGAGAAGCGGCTCTAATGGGCAATGTGTATAAGAATTCCATCTGTAACATTGCCGCAACCGATGGCAAAGATTCTTCCCAAGGTTGTCTTTATATGAGGAATCCTCGTGCCATTCAACCAGAGCCCTGCAACGGGATTTCAGGCCAGAGAGAGTATCTGGTCAATAATTCAGATGTGTTTAAACATCATGTCTTATACACTCGCGGCTGGGTGCTACAAGAAGTTCTTTTGGCACCCCGAGTTTTGCGTTGTTGCCGTGAGCAGCTGTACTGGCACTGTGACGAACTCCGGGCTTCGGAAATTTTCCCGAATGGAATGCCAGCATCCATCTCAGAAGATTACCATCCCGTAACAAAATATCGAAGCTTCAGCAACGGTGGGAAGCGTACTATTCTTACGTCTTCGGCTCTAGAAAATGTTGCATCAAACTTGCTCCATTATGCAGGTTCTGCAACAGCACCTCGCTGGATTGAGTTAACGCGAGCGTATTCAGCTGACCTTGATATAAACACGTTCGGGTTCGAAATACTAGGTAAAGACCTAGGTATCCCTCTGGAAGACATAAGCAAATACTTAGATCACCTTTCTCTCTATGAAGAGCTCAGCCTCAGACGGAAGCTCAATGCTAGCCATCCATTTACTTACTGTGCAAGACTCGTTCAAGCATATTGCAGCATGTCTTTCACCAGAGCAGAAGATCGAGCAGCTGCTTTTGCTGGTATAATCTCGCTTTTAAGACCACATCTTGGAGAGTACCTGGTTGGACTGTGGAAGGTATTTCTGCCTTTCGAGCTATTATGGGTCGCAGTGAAGCCTTCTAATATACAAAGAGCGCTGAGAGCGCCAATTTGGTCTTGGATGTCCATTTATGGCGCTGTTGATTACTCTAGGTGCGGGCACAGTGTGCAACATGACCAAATCCTGGTTGAATTGCTTTCTGTGTCAGTCAACTATGTATCTATCGACATGTCTCGCGCCTCTAGGTGGGAGATGAGGCTCCGAGGCAAACTCGCTGTTGGGGACTATAAGCACAGAGGAAATAGGCTGTCCAAACGAGTCCACATGCACTACATTGGAAATCCGACTTGGCAACTCTTGCCGTCTGGGGAATTCGAAATAAACCCTACAGAACTATTCCTGGAATCCGATAATCCACCCCCTCCATCAATTTTCTTGGATGAAGTTGAACCAGTTGAACTATATGACGGACAGTTTGTCTTCTTTCTTCTCTTCAAAGATAAAGTCGCCTGGACCAAAGTCCAGACGGGCCTTGTGTTACGTTTGGTGGAGGATGAGCAACGATTTCGCAGGATTGGTGTTTTTGATGGCTCAAACCCCAAGGTGCAGGGAATTTTTGATATAGTTGAGCCTACCGAGGTTATCTTGGTGTAAGCATTCCCACGTATGGTATGGTCAGTCTAGCTTTCACATGCGGAGATTTTTGGCAATAGCAACCCTTTTTGACGGAACCGACAGCGATTGTAGCTTTGAGTTTTAGAGGGATGTTCATAGGTGTTAGACATTGTAGAGAAGTGTATGTAAGAATGTTTTTGTGCTTGAGCACCTTCGTCGAACCGAGGTAGCGTACAATCATTACGCGCTTCGGGAGGGCAATGTACGGTCAAAAGTCATCGGTGGATCTCCAATATGCTGAGCACTAAAAGAACATGTTTGCTTCTAGTTCCGCCGTAGAACCAACCAATGTTTCGCTCCGATGAGTTATTATTGTCACCGAATATACACAATGGCTTAGCTTAAGCGGGTTGCAGTGATTCTGTCGCTTAACACGAATCACGACAACAAACGGCCCCAAGCACCCAGAAGTCATCACCAACTCCGCGAAACCCGATTAATGATACAAAGTTGGGATGGCCTAACCCTTGTTTGCACATCCCGAAGATCTACATTAGTCTCGGTGGTTTCTCAGCTTGCCTCACGGAGAATAGATCCAACAACACAATGACCTCGCCAAGATTGCGGGTCTCGCTTGAGCATACTGCATGGCCAACAGTCATTTCTGTCATGGCGCTGACAAGTCTGGAAAAGCAACTTGCTCTCAGATATATGGGAGTGACTTTTAAGATATACCCCAGAGCCTGTAATCTATCGTTTTATCTATTGCGTTTGTCTTCCACGTGTCTCGATTAGTTTATTCTTGCTATGCTAGCTCACCTTCTCGGGATCTTCGCGCAGGCTCCCCGATACATGGCGTCCAAAACTCTCCGAGCCAACGAATTAGCGCTACCTTGCAGTATGGTTCAACTAATAAACTCTTCTTACTCGGTTTCGTCTATTCTACGCGAGCCTCCTTGAATGAACAATGGAGATAGGCTACTCTTCTCATCTGCTTGGCAGTAGATACGTGACATTTATGCAAATGGTGATGCAGACCATCCCCCCCCCCCCAAGATGATCAGTTTTCGACTCGCGGCTAGCGTCTCCCACAGTCTGGGATTCCATCCTATGGAGTCATCACCGCTCAACTATCCATGTTACGATTTTCGGGGCTCATATCCCCTCTTGCCCTTATAAGCAAGAGCTAGCGTCTAACACCGATCAGCAGCGCGTTGCATCTTAGTGACTAGGGGGGAGGGTGTAAGATTGTGTGGCCCGTGAGCAAAATCCGAAGATAGATGTGCTTTACTTGTGTCCCTGCCTTGATGGAGCTCATCATGGGATGCTGGCAATTGAAATGGCTCCTATGGCTTGTAGAGGTACTGAAAGTCAAAGAAACTTCCTTCTGGACCTGCTGCGACTTAGCAAAGCGATGCTGGATATCTAGCGTCTTCAGTCTCAAAGAATTATGTATCCTCGTCAAGAAGAGAGAACAATCAGACGAAGTAAGAAATCAGCACTCTAATTTGGGTTGCTCCTGAAAGAGAATGTGGATTAGCCAGGTCAGGCAGGACACCGAGTCAGTCGGTCAACGAAATCGGGAGACTTTGGGAGTCATGTACCCTGTTTCTTTCGCAAACGAGGGCCCATCAAGCATTCTGTTCTAGATGACAACGCCAATTTAATTAATTGTCGACTTTCTAATTGATCGATTCGCAATCCCTCTTTTAAGTACATTTACCCAGTCCCCATCAGTCTGTATTGCCCAGCCACTTGGTAGGATATACCTCAGCAGAGTGATTAATATGACGGTAGTGTGCTTTTATTTTATACCTCCTAGTTTTTGGCCCTTGTCTTCGACCACTTTTAGGCAAAATAAAAGGTTATATATGCGTAATAAACACGACGTAGTCATCTAGCACCTATTTTAGTCTTCGCATCAACAAGTGTTTTGCTCTCAGGCCAATACAGTGCTCCAATTATGCAGCCAACTCCTCTCGATATCGGAATTGCAGCATTGGTCCTTTCTGTGAACTGACAAACCGGTCATACAGCTGAAACTCGGTCTTGCATTCTCTGCCTTCCCGAGCATCGCCAATTCCTTCGCCCATGTTGCTGCTGGGATCCAGGCGAATGTCGAAAAGCCAGATGAGGCGAGCCAAAACGATGGACATCTCCTGGTAAGCCAGGTATTTTCCAATACAGCTACTACGGCCACCACCAAATGGAGTGAATCCATAAGCTTGTCCCACTGCTGGTCGCATCTTGGGCGACTCCTTGCCTGACACTGGGACGGAACCGTCTTTAAGTCCTTTGGTACGTTCCTCAAGGAACCAGCGCTCAGGCGCATATGTCAACGGCTCGGCAAAGTTGTCTTCGCTGTGATGCATGGAATAGTGCGGTATTCCCAAGTTAACACCCGCTGGGAAATAATCTCCGTCAACCGTCAACCCCCCAGGGCCTACGACGCGTGGCAAGATGCTTGGAACGGGGGGTGACATGCGCATAGCCTCGTCAATACAGGCAGGCAAGTACTCAATCCTCTGAAGTTCCGCAGAAGCAAATCGTATAGGACACTTTACGTTGGACCCCTTATTTCCCATGTCTTCAGGTGATAGGGGGAAAGCTTCACGAATCTCGCGGGTTAGACGTTCAAGGGTACGGGGATTGTGTGTCAGATAAAACAAGGTTGAAGTTGTTGCCGTGATCATACCATCAGTACCACCAATGATGAAAAGACTCGCTTCCGAAATGAGTTCTTCTGTAGAGAAGGCATTGCCAGTCTTAGGATCGCGCGATGCAAGAAGCGCTTGCCAAATATCTCTGTACGGCATAGATGGCTGCTCCAATCGCCAGAGGGCGAAAGATCGGCTGACTGACATCAAGTTGCCCACGCCAACGATGAGTTCTTTGAACAATACCTTGTGTAGATTACAGAAAAAGAGGGATTGCATATGGCCCACCTTAAGGGCAAAATGTTAGCCAGTCCGATAGTATCGTGGATCTCTCATTGCCGTTATTTATTCCTCTGTAAATAGACCCAGCAACGCAGCTTCGATTTGACTTACCAAGTGGATTCCAGCAACACCATTGGGTAAATCTTTAACAAAGTGTCGATATTGTGGATCTCTTTGGACATTCCATGTTCGGCCAAAAGTCACGGAGCCCATGATATCGGCAATACAGAAAGCGACGGCGTATGACATGTCTTTACCTGGGCTCCAGCCATGCTCTCCTTGTGGTTTGCTCCCAGCTCCCTCGCCGATGATGCTGATAAACTCATCAAGATGCGGCGTTACTTGGTCTTCAAATTCTTTAACCGCAGCCGGTGTAATGGCAGTCATATTGACTCGACGCCTGAAAGCATGCGCCTTGTGGTCTACAGTAGTGAGAGACATCTCTGCTCCAAAGAAGCGCTTGAAAGAGCCATACGCATCAGCCTTGAAAGTGTTGGAATTGACATCGTGAAGGTCTCGAGACGCCTTTGCAGAGTTGATTGATAGTCGGTTCGGTCCAAATCGAACGAATTTGCCTTTGAGCGTAAGTTGACGAGTCAGAATGGCGTATCAATGACAAGAAACGTACCATGTCTCTTATGCTGCTTATGAAGCTCCAGATGGCGGCCTCCCTCGGCGATCCAATAAACAGTGTACCAGTCAGTGAGAGACGCGATCAAAGGTCCTGGATATTTGGCGAGAGGATGGAAAGCGAGCTTGTAGACTAGATTCGAGAAGAACTATGGCAAACAACCACATTAGCGATCAATGAGAAGCAAAATAGTGCGACGTGAAACGGCTTTTGTATAGTCCTTGATTCGAATGACTCGGAAACGCGGAAAATTTGAGTAGTGCATTTAACGCACCCATTCAAAGAAGACGATGGCCGCGGCTTGTGTATACCAAAGAACGTTACGAGGTTGCTGCAAGTGGAAATATGACAACGTGGCTAGTCCTAGACAGATGCTTGCGAAAGCGCAAGCAGGGATAATGTGAAAGGCCATGGCTAGGGGATGCTTCTCAGTGAGATTGCACGGAATTTTCGGAAGGAGAAGCGGTCATTGGCGGCAATGTCTACTCTTGGAGAAGAAATAGACCTCCTTGCAAAAAACTACGGTAGATCGTATTATTGAAACCTGATATCAGCCTGTATCATCAAAACTTCAGGGATTGACCCGATGTGATGGCAAGGAAGAGGCGACAGTATCGAGTTGGATCTGATGATTTGCAGGAATAGAGTATTAGCAGGCGGTCAATTTGCTTATATGGTAGAATTGTCTGGAGAATACATAGATTGGTCAGCATACTGACCGAGGAGCGAACAGAATCGTGTTTGCTACCTGCTCATTCGTGCTACCATACACCATTATGTATGAAAGCACAAGCATCGGTGTTAGCAGGGGGGCGGGGCGTGTGCTTCACTATTGAGGGGGTATAAGTAATTGAAGTTAAGCACGACCCACAGCACAATGAGCGTGGGCTATTGGTTTGTCCAAGCGTGGTGATGTTGGTTTCTGAGCTGGGAGTTGACAAAAGTCTCTGTTGTGAGAGTTGGACATAACTTTAATCGAAAGACTCCGGCTCCTCTTACTGTGGAAATAGAACTATATTAGTGAATGACAGCTTGGAGTGAGCCGGAATCGCGGGATCGTCATTCATTGTCACATCTCTCTCCACAAAAACCATACAGCACAGACCCTGGGACCTGGAAAGATGATCGCGGAAAAGGCACCGTGGATCCTGGTCTCATTGAAGGTCGGGGCCATGTAGTGAAGTGGTGCAATACCCTCATTCATGCCCTTGGTTCCTGTTAGAAGAAAAAGGTCAATGGAGAGTGAACGTGCGCCGGATATGAGTTCATCTACATATAGCTAGGCAAGATCCGCTTCCCCTGTTTATAGTACAACCTCTTCGTCTTGGTAAAGAATCATCTCCCATCCCTCTCTTAACTTGCTGGGGAAGCCGCAATAATTCCCTTCCTGTTCTCCAGCGATGGACAATTACACCTTGTTAGAAAAGGGAGTCACAACTTCCGGCCCAATCGCCATTGAGATTGCTGATGTAGAACACACTCATAATCTGTCTGTAAGTAAGAGTTGGGCCCCAGTCAGCATATACCACTCTTATGCTTGGTAAAACTATGAGAACGTGATTAGGTGCTGACATTTCCCAACTCTGATACAGAGTCGATCTTTATTATATGATCTCAAGACACTTTTTCTTTTCACCAAAAGTGACTTCAAAACAGTCATTGCACCACAGAGCATATTCGCCATTACAGCAGCATTATCGACAACAAAGCTTACCACCGCACACTTAGGGGAGGGCGAGTTCCCAGATGTATGGAATATAGCTTCTCGTGTGCCGTTGATGCTCGCGTGGATTTGGATGAATCTTTTGGTTGAAGATATCGCGAACCAACGCCTTGAAGGGTCTATTGTAGAAGACACAATCAACAAGCCATGGAGGCCGTTGCCTTCGGGACGAATTTCTCCAGAGCAAGCACGAGACTGGCTCCTCGTCGCCATTGTGGCCACAATGGGCTTGGGCATCCTGTCTGGCGGTTACACAGCGAGCATCACATTAATGGTCTTCGTCTGGATGTACAACGATCTAGATGGTAGTAACAGCGGCATCTGGATTCGAAATGCGCTGAACGCAGGTGGTCTCATGTGTTTTAGCTGGGGGGCATTAGCCACACTCTCTGGAGGAAAACTGCTACCAGAAGGCTTTGCTTGGATCTTGATGACTGGAGCCATCATAATGACAACGGTCCACGCACAAGACTTGCCAGACATTGAGGGGGATATGGCTCGTGGGAGACACACGGTGCCCCTGCTGTACGGCGAGGCCGCGGCGCGAATATCACTAGCAGTCATGGTTTGTTTCTGGTCGGTAGCGTGTCCGTTCTTCTGGGATGCGTCTCCATGGGGATGGGCAGCATCAACAAGCATAGGAGGCGCAATGTCAGTGCTTGCGTTGAAGAATATGGGCCAGTGGTGGGACGAGGTGGTGTGGAAGCTGTGGTGCCTCTGGGTGGCAGCGCTGTATCTTCTGCCAGCATTGAAAAAGTAAACCAATAATGAAAAAATGAGAATACAATTTAATGATGCAGTCCCATTGTTCTCCCATGTCCTTGCATATGCTTCATAAGCATTAGTGGCGGATGAGGGTGCGAGCTGCGTGTGAGCAGTTGCCACATGTCATAGTAGTATGCATGCATGGGTGGATAGAGGACGGGTTCAGGTAACAAATGCAACGTTTAGACGGAGTACGCTCCGTCGGATTTCTCTGCGGCCATGCAGGCACCTGCTTGCTGAAGCACAAGGTGCTCTTGTAAGTGCTTATGTGTGAGATCAAGGCCATGGATCCAAGGGGTGTGCAAGCAGGCCACTTGGTCTCAATTGAACTTGGCAAACTGTTCCTGCAGAATCAGTACTCCAGTAGAATGTAAAAATCTTCTGTCCATCATTTGTCCATCTCATTGCGGAGAAAGCTGAAAGCAAGGCCCAAACAGGTTCCCAGGGTGTGTCTCAGATATGCACGTACAAGTGCATCTACACGTCAGGGTTGATACGGGGCTGGTCAAACCTCAAGAATATTCCAGAAGCAGAGAAGGGATGTCAGAGAAAAAGGTAAACTGGCAGGGAAAAGAGCACTCGGATGTTACGGCGGCGTCATGACACTGCAAACATGCGATGTGACAGGTGCAATTGGATGCCGTCTTGTATGTCTATCATAAAAGGCAGCCCGTCCAATGTTGGCCTCCTCCATGTGTTATTCTGAACCGCGATCTACAGCGTGCATGCCGAACTTACAATAGGCCAAGAATAACCCACAGACTACCATTTTTGGGCAATGCATTCATGAATCGGGGAAGCTGAGTATTCCAAGAATAAATTATTTCTTCCATAGGATTCCCCTTCTAGGGAGGACTCGTGTTGGTCTCATACATCTAACATATTGCCACCTTCCGTTCTTCCGAGGGGTTGGCACCTACTAGCCACACGGCCTTAGATTTCACGACATAAATTAACAATATATTTCTTTTAACAAGATGAATTAAGCCAATATGACCCCCTCTGGCGGCGGTGTTCATCGATCCCGCCACGGCGGGTCGGAAACTGGCCGCATACAAGCACATGCAAGATGTCAGCGTAAGACCCAGTTATTACAGGGCCACGAAGCGCAAGTCGGGCTCTAGCAAAACACCGAACCATAACGGGATTTTGTCTCCAGTATTCCGTAGTATCAACTGATTATACGAATAAGCACGCCTCCCTAGGACGCGCATGACAGCGGCCACCGAAGCCGGGAAAGCGTTCGTAAATACGGAGTACGAGCTGTGCCTTTCTTCTGACTCGAGAGTTCACCAACTGTTTATTTTCATGCGGATAAGCCTATTAAAGCTTTCTGTTCTCTTTTATTTCTTTTTTCTTTCCTTGTTCTTCTTTTTTTTCCCTTCTTTTGCTTCATATGTTGACGAATGGCTCGTAACCACCAGATACTTCGTATATCGGGCATATTGGTGTTGAAGCAGTCTACCGGCGTCGCCGTGGCTTCTGAGTCCAATTAGAGAAGGAAAAGGATCGGCCAGTTCCCAGTTCGGAAACCGATGATCTCCGTCATAGTTGGTCAAACCACTCAAAAGGCCACAAGGCTATGCATGCGGCCCGTGGTGGTGCTTTTCAATGGGGCTTTCTGCATAAATGTCATTGCATGGTATTGGTACAGGGTCTGTCTACTTGTAACTACGGTATAATTATACCTTACATCGTTACTAACATGGAAATACAATGGTATGCAGCTAAATAGAGCTGCATTGAGTAAAGAGCGTTTGCTCACTCCTTAATTGAGGGCGTTTGTGTCTTGAGGTACTAGCAATATATTAGGTGTTACCACCCTGTATTCCGTACTCGTACTGCATGCTTCATGTAGGACTACTCATAAGTCTGATCTACAGCGAAGAGGGGCGGCCAAGAATCTCTCATAGAAGCACATGGCCTTCTTTGCCGATCCCCGGCCTCGGCAGCAAGCCAGTCCCTTGGACGGCCCGTTTGCGGCTTCACTAGCACGGAGATGCCGTGCCTGGATCCGCCAGCAGCCAAAACCTTACCTGGACTCGAGATTTTTGCTAGCTCGAGCGGCCCGCATACAAAGTAGCATGTCCGGGCAGTAATACTCCGGACGGAGCTAAGCGCTAATTACGCCGACGAAAAGGTCGTAAATGCTACCAACATGTAGGCCTATTGTTCAATACACATTGGGTCCATCATTCCTTTCAACGTTGAACATCTTGCGAGCCATGCTTCATGGCTACAAATCTTGACTCCTACGAGATATGGCGACTTCTATACTGCAGGAAGAAATGGAGAAATCATTTTGGAGACATGCTTTACACTATCAAATACATTCTGTGGATTTGGATGATACCGGTTGCCTTCCAACAGCTCATAATGAGCCAACCACTGCCTAGCATACATATCCCTACTAGCATCGCTCTGCTATCATAAGTATATTTCATCTAGGCATGTATATACTACTCACGAAGTGCACATTTCACCTAATCTCAGGCATAGTTATCACGCAGGAGAGAGATTCAATCCCGTGCGAATGGTCCGCATGGGGTGCGATCGTTGGGAACCATGATCTGCGAGCTTTTTTGTGTCAAACCGCACCAATTTACGCTTGGCTGTTGACTCTAAGCTTGGGATGCTGTAATGCAGGGAAAACTGGAGCCGAATCCTGCGAGTTTTATAGTCTGCATTTGCGACTTGATCGTCTGATGTAAATGTCATGCACAAGAGCGGATATCAGAACCGCTCCAGTGGGAGCTGAAGCCGAGTTTATTCGCTGTACTATGTGTCCTATTGCCTTCATGTTCCCAGTAGATGGTTCTCAGGTTTTCGGCCTCGGACAAAATCGCCCATCCTATCACAGAATTTATAACAGGCATGAAGAGAGTACATGTATGCTATAGCCTACAGTAACTGACATACCAACCCTGAAAATTTGTATAATCGCCTGAGCGGAGGCGGCGTCCAACCACATGCCCTGCAGTCTAAAGGAATTATATGGGCCGTTCCAAGGGCATGCATCCTAAGCTAAGGCATGTGCGTATTCCGAATAGGCAAGCCGGAGCAGCATCTTGCATCCCCTAGTGTCGTTTGCCCTGGACATCCCGCGCAGTTTCGGAATCTACAGGACATGTAACTTGGTGAAAAGAAAAGACGCAGGGACAGAATGCCCCTGCATAACGGGCATAGCGCCGATTTTACTGCTCCAAGATGGTCGTCTCCTCCATGAGACAGCCAACAGTTGTAGCAATATCGGTTGTAGCAATACAGTTGTTGGCTCTAATCTGAACCAACATGATGCTTCAATTCTCCTCTTTTCCCCCGCCAATTTTGATCCTGCTTCGATTACCAACAAAAGTATTTATAAGCGACTTGCAGTATCAATTTCCAGAAATCTTTTTGACTTCGTGTGCTGAATTCAGGCTCCTCTCTTATGTTGTCAACCTTTTTTAGCACATAAATCTCCCCCACCGCAGCTTTTGAACCCCCTTCTCTACCCTGCCGGAATTCCATCATTACTACAACACCACCAAGGGTAGAAGATAAATCGTACGCCGATGCTGTAGCTACAGTGTATCGCCAAAAGAGAGAATAAAGGAGAAAGGAAACCCTAAACCCCAGCAAAAGAATTCCACCACATGATCGGTCAACCGGGCTTCGCCTATCTCACTAACAACATTCAGACCCCCCTCCAGGGTTGTTGCCACGACCAATCCGTGCTTACACGCATACGTGTAGATCATACTACGCTGCGAAGTGCATTCACCTTCTTCCTGAAGAAATTACCAAAGAAAGACAAATTATATTAGTGTAAATGATGACTGCTTTAACGTGGTTCATCACCGGCTGCTCTAGCGGATTCGGCGAAATCCTAGTACGCCAGCTCCGGGCCGCCGGTGATAATGTCATAGCCACAGGTCGCAATGCCGATACGAAGCTCTCCCATCTCAAAGACACCGGAGCGGCGATTCTCGATCTGGATGTCACGGCGCCTGCCGCCGAAATCCAGACCAAAATCGGCGAAGCTTGGGAGATCTATCCAGGGGGCATCGACATCGTGGTCAATAATGCTGGCTTCATCGTCAGCGGAGCGATTGAGGAATTAACGTAAGTGGATATCGATAAGCACAGCCTTTATTGACTTTGCTCATTAACAAGACGCATACTTGTAATTGCTCATTGTCGTCTCATACCCCATCTTCGCAATAACATTCCCCCAACATATCTCCGTAACACGTTTCTACAATGTAACATTATACTGATCAGCCCTAAAAATCCTGGGGCATGACTAGGCAAGAAGACATGGACTCTTCTTTCAAAGTGAATTTCCATGGTCCACTCAACATCACCCGTGCTGTCCTCCCTCGTTTCCGAGCAAGGAACAAGGGTACGCTTCTGTATGTAGGCTCTCAAGCGGCGTGGCATGCCGATCCTAGTGCTGGCAGCTATTGTGCAGCCAAGTTTGCTCTATCAGGTATGTGCCTAATCTCAATTGCCTGCCCTTACAAGGGGATCCGGAAGGTTGGAAGGTCAATCTAGTCTCCTAAAACACCCATCCTACCTCACTTATTGAAACGAGCACGGTGAATCACGGATTCAGCAATGTCCCACGCCATTTCTCTGCCGGCCGTGTCCCCAATTACCACCCATGTTCCAGCCGAAACTACACGATTTAGGCTATTCACTGACATTCATGGGCCATGCATGCTAATTTCAGCCAAATACAGGAGCTGTTGAATGTCTCGCCAAAGAACTGGCCATCTTCTCTCCTGGCATCAAGGTTCTCATTGTCGATCCTGGGTACTTCCGCACCAAGGTGTTTTCCAACATCAACCATGTGGAACCCCGCAACCCAGACTATGCTCAATTCAATGCCGGTGTTCGGCAGTTTGAAACCTCGCTCGTTGGAAAAGAGCCTGGTGACGCCGACAAAGCCGTGACGCGAATGATTGAGCTCGTCAAGGGCACGGGCATGGCTGCTGGGAAGCAGATCCCTCTCCGAGTACCCTTGGGATCAGATGGCTGGGAAAGGGTCAAGACAAAATGCGAAGAGACGATCAAGATTTGCGAAGACTGGGAGGAGGTTGCCAAAAGCACAGACTACATTGCGATAGATGAGGCTGTGAACTGATACTAGACCTTAGTTAGTTCTTAATACAGCAACCATCTACCGGAGATAACATAGTTGTGAATCGTCTCAATAACATGAAAGCAGTTCACTAATTACAAGTACTGATGCATTCGCATCATTGCCTATAGTGCATTACGGGTTTCACGATAGTCCCTTATTCTTCATGCCATCGCTTCTCATTGGTCTATTTGGCTATCTTACTTCCCAAAATCCGATCAACATCATCCAATCGACAGTTTAAATTTTATCTTATTCAGATACCCTTTCACAAACTCAGTGTATAACTCACGTTGAATTACTCTCCCAATAGTAACTCATCCTTCAAGTCTTATACAGGCACTGCGCTACTCGTGGCTGCGTCTGAGTGCCAATTCAAAAGTTAGTCACTTCAAATCTTTCTCCATCGTCGCACCATGAACGCTGTGTCCGTGACCAGCTTGTAACATCTGATTGCCAACGGTCGTATATGCTCGTATAAGTAAGTTGACGAAATCGTTAAATTGAGCCAAACCTTTTGAGCCGGGGCAACCAAAATCTCACTGGAATGAACCACGACGGCAGCTTGCAGTCAGAAAAGCATCATAAATGAATGACCTTCATCATCAATCATCCCATGGAGACACTGGGGAAAGATTAATGTCATTCAGCCTCCGGCTTAGCCATCAATGAGTCTAGCCCTGTAGTTTCTGGCGGCCGATCATGCTGTATGAGAGTCACGTAGTGCAATAGACGTGCTGCATGGTATGAACATTACGTGAGAGCCCTTTGTTCAAAACATTTCTTGTCGCGAAACCCTCAATCGTTTTTAACTGTCATAATTGCTTACTTGGCATCTTCAACGCTTGAAATCATTATACAGCCGTCATAATTAGCCCTCGTACTGGGGAGGAAAGCGGACGCCAAACACGCCCAAAATCATCACCATCCTTGCACCGACCGTTTCTCCTCCGCAAATATAGATAGACAATCAGCGAATCCAACCTTTTCTGCTTCAACGACTTGACAAAGCACACTATAGTACGAGTAATCTAGATAGTTACTCCGTCTGTATACAACCCTCTCAGATGAACAGCGATGCTCAACTTCAGATATACATGAAGAGCCTCCGAATATATATAAAGCCACCTCTCTCACACGTTCCGGAATGAGGCAAAGAGAGAATTCTAAGAAATCATAAAGCTAGTAAAGTAGCCTCTTCTTATGCCTTGCATACATCAATATCTTGCACTTCCCTTCAAAATATTATAGGCAACAAGCTGCCAATCTTATATTCACCTTTCTCAAATGCTCATTCTTACTCTCTTCATAATCATCCCCACAACTTCTCTATATACGGATCCATGGAAAAGAGACATGCAGTTTCTGCCCCAAGCTACCTAGTTAAATGATAAACTTTCCCCGTTTCTAATGGAGAACTTTGGGGAAAGGGATATTGCGCGCGGCGCCAACTCACTCTACCCTCCCGGGTAAGCAGTGCATGTTCAGAGGACCCGTGTGATAATTGCAAAGAAGGCAAAGCGAAGAGATTCATTATATACAAGAGAAATAAATACAACATAACAAAGAACAATTCAAGGTCAACGCAGATAATTGGCAACTGAAGCTCTGTATTGCTACCCTTAAGCACGGCCGGATGCGCCGCATGGTAATGTGTCCAATTATCTGACTGCAGTGCAACTCGGTGTTTCTCCTCTCTTCACCAGGCTTTCCATTGATTCCGCTCATGTTTATCCAATGGAATATCCAATATCTTAAATGCATATGCTATTAATGGCATTTTACCTCTGCCGGCATCACAATCCATCTTCAGCGGGGCCGTCTCCGAGCCGGACCCGGTGTATCGGTATCCACATATCGGCGTATCCATCACGCTTCCGGCAAACACTCTCCTTCATACGGCGTATTAGTCTTGATAGTCTTATGTTGGATCAATGAAGAAGATTCAAAGATGGAAGAATCTAGTCTACCTCATGAAATAATTCTCAGCATCAGTGTATTTTTTCTCGATATTCTCCATCATAGCGAAATCCCAAAATCCCGTGCCCACCCTCGCCAGGGGCGTGGGGCACACTGTTTGCACAAGTTCACGCGATATATTAAAACTCCCCTTTGACAATTATGACATATCACTAAATCGATTTTCTCGCATGAAATCACCGCGGTCGCCTACCATAAATAATTCAAGCCTCGTATGGTAATGAGATATTTTAAAGCAGCCACCAGAGACCGCAATAAGATTGGGCTTCGTATTGGGCTGAGACATGTGTAACTCATACAAATTGCATCTCATGTAATAGAATATCTCTCAAGATTTTTGTAATAGAGAATTTTTCGGTAATCAATCGGACCTGGGTACCGCACTATCTATGCGCCCAACCACAGTCCTAAGCTCGCTGCCCTTGACTAGTTTTATCCCTGGCTTCAGAGCAACCAGTATTCTCGCAAGTGCCGTGAATAAATTCGTGCCACAAGAGATCAAACAGAGTCCTAGTAAATTTTAATACAAGCAGCAAAGAAAACAAGGATAAAGGGGAGAAAGCTACAAGCCATGGGAGTGTAACTTCAACCATTGTCTCAATTTTCACCTCCGCGTAGCGCGGGGAAGGAAATAAGACACGTTGGCGTCTTTCGACACCCAAGCACCGCACTATTCGCAATCGTCACTTACAAATGATTACCCTCTCAGCGTCCCCTAAGACCGAGAGCATCTGCCGTTCAAATCTCTCCATTGATAGGTCAGAGCCCCTCTCGTCGGGGTGAAAAGAACGCCCGCTGCTGGAACAAAGGACTCCCACAGCATCGGCGAACTTGGATCATATTCCCCGTTTTCGATTCACAGGTAGTATCTTACGCATAATCTTTCACAATTCCGCTGTAAAGAATACAAAATTCCCGTTACAAAATGATCTACATAGATGTACGACGAGGATGAAGTTCCGAAGCCCAAACCATTCACAGCTCCATATGGGCGAGCTGTTGGGCAACATACATCTCTAGCGCCAGCTTCACTCCCGATTTATAATCAAAAAGCCAGGGATTCTCCTCCTAGGCTATCCACAGCGGCGCATAGCGGTTGATAATCTGCATGCCGAGTAGTTGAGATTCACCGCTACAACTAAACTCAAGCTGCTGTACTTTCAGTGACTAGAATTCAATGTACCAGTCTCGCCCTCGATAAACGGATGAATGTTTCTAAGCCAAGAAGCGTCTTTGCTTTCCTTCTAGCTCATATAAAACGTTTTGCAACGAACGCTCTAAAATCCTCTGTACAGTAGAACATATCATGTTGGCTCAAAGATGTGGGATCCTCGGACCGAAGCCTCCCTCCTACATTACCTGTCGCCCATCTCCACCCCCTGAGCAAAATTTTCAATCCTCCAAGGCAAGGGAGAAGTACTCGTACGAAAAGAGTCATCTGCTCAAGTTTAGGCATCAATGAGCATGCATTCATGCGCGAATCGCCATTCCGGATGGCCTCTTTTACAGGACTAAGCCAAGCCCCCCTGAACTGCGACTCATTCACCATGCGGACATACGCAACCTCATTGGATAGCCAGCAACAAGCATAGAGGCATGCTCCCTGCGTGGTGTTGCTCGCACCAATGTTCCCATGGTGTCAACAGGCTCCAGGCCGGAGATGAGGTCCGGTATGTGGCATGTGAAAACACCAGTTCTGCCTATCAACAGCTAGGGGAAGCGGCGTCTTGAACGGCCAGTGGGGCATGAACGACCCAGGTCTAGAAAAAAAAAAAAGCAACAAACCAAAAGATATGTCAGACTTTCGATAATGAAATCTCTGTAATTGAATGGCTGTACGCCTCACTTGGTTGTCTCCGGGTACGCCTGTCCCCGAGTCCGCGTGTCACTCTCGCCTCAACCATCCCCACATCGATTGGCTGGTCTAGCCTTCTTGATTTCGTATGAATTGATTCCTCCTCGGCAAGGGAGAGATAGCAAAGTATACAGGATATCCAATTGTGTCGTCCTTTCGGCAAAAACACCGGTGGCGGTGGCCGGGCCGGCGTTCCATGGCCAAGAGGGAACGAAAGTGTTGGGCCAATGAATAGCCTTATTTCGTATGGACGGTGTCTGTTAATTATCCCGTACAGATAACATTCTATTTACCATCCATTGATCCATATATGCCCATGTTATGGAAACAATATACAAAACAGCAAACGCTCTTAGCAAGACATATACGTCGAGTATAAGTTTCAAGAACAGCCTGAAACACACTCTCCAAAAGTCGATTGAGCTTCTGACATCGGCCGGTAAAGCCATATATAAACATCTGAAGCTGGATAGCCTCAGCCACAGACCATCCTACATACTACGGCGTACTCCGAGCACAATCCATGTGTTTTTGTAAATTCAAACTCGAAGCCGCCGCTGTCCTGCCTCATCTTAGGTAATCGCACCGCCCCATTTGCAACCTGGAAAAAACAGCCCGGCATAAAAGTTTTCCCATTTGCGGCCAAGCTCGCAGCAGGAGCATTACCTCCGGCGCCCAGAGCTTCGATGTTGAGCCATTCACCGCCAGCACCAAAAGTCTCCGCTCTCTTAAATTGGTAGAACGCGCAGAAAATTTTGTCTTCCGCAAACCTGCTAGCAATAAGAACGAAGCTTATTTGGACTGTTACCGACGCGGGATGTCGATCCTGTTTGGGCGGGCTTTCGTCAGTCCAACGCAAGCCGCTCAGCGGTGGCGTGACAGAATCAAGGCGACAAACGACGACAGCTGTGGCGACAGTGTCAAGTGTATGTAAACATGACATTGGATAGCCCCCACGGACAGTGGCAAGTTGAACACCTCAGCCACTGCCGCCACTGTCGATCACCACGCGAGGCTGCCCTTGGGGAAATCGTGTGTGGCTCGTTATGGCATCTCATTGGCTGGGCGGGAACAAGTGCCGTAGCTTAGGCGAAGAATATTGGATGGCAAATCTCAAAGGCCGTTGAGATTGTGAGGCGCGAGATGATGGATGTGGAAGATTGGATCAAAATCGCCCGTAGATCTGTTCCGCAATCAATTTGACGCGTGGTTTGCCAATTCGAGCAGTTCCAGACCACAACGAAAGGGCCGGGAGCCTGGGCTATCCCTGGCCGGCTTGTTTGATTGGTTCCGCGAGGCTCCATTCAACGCAACGCCCTTTGTTGAGACCATTGCTAGGGTCATGGCGGCATTCGCACGTTCAAGGTGGCCAAGAACATTCGTAACGAGCCGTAAGAAACTGAGCTAACATGTAAGTCGTATGCCGTACCGAAGAACCGGAACAATAGCGTCGCTGACCCCATTGCACGGAAATGGGAATAGGCACGTCGAGACTCCGCTGTTGCTCAGGTCCCTGAACAGAATAGTGGAGGATGTGCTTCCGCCTCGCCGCCACACGTGGCCGGCTTGTGCCCAACGCTCCGTGTAAACATTGATAGAACCAGGGGAAATTCGCCGCCCTGAACCCAGAATGCTGTTTTCAGCGTCTTGCTGGCGTCATCTCGCCTCTTGGGTGGCATCAGCCAAGTAACACTGGCACATGATTCTGCTGTACTTGTCGGGATAGGAACTGCGGAAGCGAGATCAGTTTGTCTGATAGGATTTTTCCTCTGCTTATCATCCGTCCGAGCCGCTGTCACAATACTTACGAGTAGTGTACTTCCCCGCCGCTGTGGCTGAAGCATGTGAACCTGTCAACAGCCTAGCTTTGTGCCTACCATCTCATCCTGCCAAACACCATGTAGATGATCGTCTTGTATATAGACCAATTAAACATGTTATAGCCCCTTTTTTGAGAGTGAGATCGTCCTCGAAATGGAGAATCGGGTCAGGGAAAGCCTCTAGAGTAGGTACTTAGTAGAAGGTGATTCGTCAGCCGCCAACCGTGGTAATAATGGCGATAGCATACCGTCACCTCCTATGAGGCAAACTACTTCACCGGTCATCAAAAGTGCTAGTGGGTGAAACAAACGAAAACTGAAAGCCTCGGTGCCTCTTTTGCCTTAGCCACGAGACCAAGGTCGGGTTCAAAAGCTGGCAGCTTTTCAAATGGCCCCCAAACGGCCGGCGGCAATGCACAAGTTACGGTGATATAACTCTACAACGCCACCCTGTGGCGCCTGGAATTCCATATGCCGTGCGGAGCTTGTATGGGTCGGTCTCCCGATGTCAAGGACACAGGGTAGCTTGGTAGCTATATCTCCGATCCCCAACGGGTCTTGCAAAGCATGTACGTTCCTCGGAGAGTCCCCCCGAGACCCAATCACAACCAGGAGGGCGCCTGGGCCATCTGGGCGCCTCATTCACACCCCTTCAAGTCCTGTCCCGATACTAGCTGCGGGTAAACGCCATGGGTGACAGAGAAAAAAAGCCAATAGTATCAATAGGAGGCAAAGCCGAAACCTTGATCTACAAGGCATGCCCTGGGACTGCAGGGTCCAAGGCGAATTTCAGCCACGGGACCTCCTACGCCAAGTTCAACCCGTCCGTGTGGGCAGCAGATTTCAGGCAAGCCAGGCAGCGGGCCCCCAAGCTGGGCCTTTCCCGCAGACTTCAGTAAACACAGGTGAGATGGACGAAAAGTTCCTGAAGGTAATTCTAGAAAAAGCGGACCGTCTTTGGGGCTCGCCTCGGTTTTGTAAGCGCGGCCTGCTGCCTCAGCCTATCACGTTTAGCTGGAGCATTTGCTCCGGAGCTTTCTGTTGCTGTGCCCAATTCGAATCGGATCACACATTGCTCAAGCCAGTACAAAGAAATGCGGTGGTGCACGCGATTTTATCTGTCAAAATGGCTCTCCTTCGCTGTTACAATTGCCTGTCTCACACAGGCCAATTGTGTGCCATCTGGCAGTAAATCCCTGAAGCAGCCACCGAGAGTAGGCCGCTACAAACCCGCCTGTCCACTCCTCCCCCCCCCCAGTCCGCTGTGGCTAGGAACTGGGCAGTGGCAACGGTTGGTAGCTGTCTCCATTCGGATAGGAGCCTCCCTCCTGCTTGAAGCCACATCTTGTGTTGATCTTCCTTAATACTTCAGGCCCAGCAATCTTCTCGGGGAGGCTGTTTGCTCGATAGCAGGTTCAACTTTGAGCTGTATTCGCGGTAATACATCTTGCCATTTTCGTCGGGCACTTTCAGAAGCAAAGATCCAGGATCGTCTCTCTCATGTTGTCATCACAAGGACGTCGCCTACCCCTGACCACCTTTGGATCTCTGTCGTCAAGTGTGCTTGACGGGCTATTCTACTCCAGATAAATGTGCACGGCGCATATGGCTGAATGCCCAGTTTGCGGGAAAGAATACCTCGTCTTTGTTGCTCTTTGTCCGGATTCCCGGCCGCCTTCAAGCGACTGCCCTCAGGGGGTAACGATCATATACGATGAAATGCGTGAAGGCGGATGCCCGAGTCCCGTCTGTCCAAACAGCCTAAGAGGCGGCTGTCAAGTAATGTAACAACTACCACAATTACAAACAGGGAGAGACTGCCAGGTGCAGCCGAAACAAAACAAGATACAGAAAGCCACGACAAGGACGGCACACGCGGAACGCTTTGGAATTTGACTAACCCCCTGGATAAAAATCAGAGCTTCTGCTCGGACGGTCCTATCTCGACAATTTGGTCAATACCTTGGTAGGGGGGGACGTCGAAGTTATATTTTTTGGCAATAGACGGAGACACAAATCTGTCACACTTCTTGTCAGTTGGCCGGCTTTGACGAAGATGGTTCACGCATGAAGCGGGAGGTACGTACCGTCCGCCAACAAAATGCCGGCCAGTAAAATGATTGACCAGTGGTTTAGGGGCCGTGAGGCTGACAAGAGCTGTGGGCATAAAAGAGCTACCTAATCCCGTCTTAGGAGGGCCATTTTCGATATCCCACGACGACGGTGCATCCACTGAGGTGACGGGTATTTTGGTCTCCTGGAGAGATTTGATTACATCCGGAAATGGCTCCCGAACTTCGCCTGAAAAGCTGAAGCCTAGAGTAAGCGTCAGCCATCGAGAAACTTGTTTGGATGAGCGAGGTACGAGGCACAAACCAAATATCGCATCCACTATATGGTCTGTTGATTTCATGGCAGTTGGGAAATCATCAGCGAATGGAACGTCGAGATCTTCGAGTTGTTTGGCCAGTCGCTACGAGCCATGGTTAAAAAAAGAAATCCTCCAGACATTCAGAGAGGGAACTCTAGGAGTTGAAATTTTCAGAGAGAGGGGGGACAGAGAGAGATGAATCAGGGTGGAGGACAAGTGAGCCATCGACAATTTTTGATTGACGACACATTTCGAATATCAAAGAGAAAGCATTCTCCAGCAATGTCTCTTTCTTGTGAACCCAAAGAAGATGCCCAGAAGCACACGTTGATGAGCAGAATAAATGTCGAAAATCGCTTGTCCTCGCATATTCCCCGGTTTACAAGTGTGGCCAATGCTGAGCAAAACTGAGAACGTCGACTCACCTGATAAAGTTCATTTTTGCTTCTCTTGGGGTAAAAGATTGTTGGCCTGTAACCATAGTAGAATAGATGGCGTGCGGCAACAAGACCATCTCCGCCTAGGGATTGCGGTCAGATGCTGGCAGTCTGGAAGAACAGGATATCAGCTTGGGAACTACCATTATTTCCAGGCCCACAGGCCACAAGGATTCTTGGGCCTTTCTCCAAGGGCTGGACACGATAGACTAGCGACGACCTCTTAGTATTGGGCAGTCAATTCCATAGCCTCCCACCAGGTGAGGGCTGGGGTGAGTGTGAGTGTGCTGACCTGCTTGTGACACTGCCAGCCCGGCAAGCTCCATGAGTTGGTCAATGGAAAAGGCGCCAGTGCTCATGAGCTCCTGGTCCAGAGCCGCTGCAGCTTTTGCGCCGAGAGTCTGCACAACAAGGTTAGCGCTGTAAGATTCGGCCACAAGACGGAGTGTGAGAGCACCTTGATAGCCATTGTGAGTTGTGTAGAGGAGAATGCTGAGATGCTCTCCAAAGGGTAAATTTTGCACCAGAGGTCAATTAAGGATGCGAATAAGGACAAAAACCTGCGTCCAGGATGTCATGATGTCGTTGGAGATTAGCGACTGCCGTTTATAATACCGGCGTGATGTCAGCGGTCCTAGGTCCTGCTCCACTGGCTCTGATTGGCAGGGGCGGCGAAACTGCAGCTCCGGTCCAAAATATTCTAGTCCTGTCCAAAACACCACTGCCGACCAATCTTTCGAGGCCAATCGCATTTTATCAGACTTCGCTCTCCTCCATTCAAGCCGAACCTCCAACCTACGCCATGGTCGTTAAAATCCGTCTCGCCCGATTTGGGCGCCGAAACTCTCCCTTCTACAACATCGTCGTAGCTCATGCTCGGTGCGTACGCAGCCAATTGAATTGAAAAAATCCCCCACCTTGCGTGGCGTGTATCAGTTCATGTCCGCAATTGACTGACACTCCTTCTTTAAACCCTGTAGCACTGCGCGCAACTCTCGTCCTCTCGAAGTCATTGGCACATACGACCCTATCCCAAAGCCCGATCCCTATGACAACTCTGGCAAACTGCACAAGGATATCAAGCTTGACTCTCAGCGTGCACGGTACTGGATTGGTGTCGGCGCTCAGCCCACCGACACGGCATGGCGACTACTGTCCATGGTTGGCATCTTGCCAAAGAGGAACTTTGCTCCAAAGGCAGACGAGTCCAAGGGCAGCGTAAATGCGGGCGATGTGAGGATTCGATAAAGGATCCGTGAGGGGCAGAGGAAGCTGTGAAAACTGGAGTGCAGATGAATGTATGATATGTGTTTTGGGCATTTCAACGGCGTTGGTATGGTTTTGATATAGAGGGGCGAATACTACCACAAGCTCGTTTTAGTTATATGAAGCTGGCTCAAATCTCATCTGGCATGTGCGCGCGTTTGGGCCTGTTCCAGGCAGGATATGAAGGAATTTGCCTGAGAAGTAATTTTCATTATCAAATTTACCCCGTCAACGGCTGAGTCGACAACATCACAACGACATTAACCAAATCCACCCGGTCAGACAGATCAACCTCGCAAGTGTCATGGTAAACACCCCGACATCGTCATACCAGTGACAACCGCATTATCAACACATCAAGCATGGGCAGCTCTGCAAGACCGTTTTAACCTTGACACGGCACATTTGACAATAAGGCGAAAAGAGTCACAGGATCCCACGCAACACCTCAGTGCCTTTCCATCAGGCGTGGACTAACCTTGAACGGCAACCTTGAACAGCGCTGCAAGACGTTTTGACCAGGAGCTAGTCACCAATTCGAACGCACCTCACGGATCATCTCCATGGCCAATTAAACTTCCAAAAAGTCATCATAGATGCTGGCTATTGTCATTTTTTTTTTATATACCCCGCTACTAATAGTAATCATATCATTCTAAGGATATCCATGTCCCTCCCTCCCTCCCTCTCTTCAGTGATTCATGCCACGGCATATTTCCACACCCCGCAGAGACGGATAGCGCTTTGGTATCATGAACTCCGTGCCTCGCAAAAGGGTGACTATACAACTCGCTGTCAAACGGCACCTCTCGTCATCAGTATACCCACGTTTCCAAAAAAGAAAGAAATCAACGCCATAAATCGCCTTTGTCTAAACTCCGGGCATGTCAACAAGTTCTGTGATATGATTTGTAAGATCAAAAAAACGCCTCTTCAAAAAGAAAGGTTGAGTGGCACTCTTTCTGTTGGCGTCTCGGCAAAACGACAATAATCTGTCAAATGACTCTTAGTGGGCGGCCGTAATGAAGAAAATGTTCATGACCAAGCAAACCACCATCACGACCATTCCGTATATCGCTAGGGCCAGAGCCATCTTTCGTAAAAGACCGTTATCGACATGCTCCAAGTCCCATCGCCATTTTCTACGCCAGCGCAAGGCGTTTCCGCTCCGACCGCTGGCGGCACTGGCAGCACTGCGAATACTGTGGGTGCTCTGGGCAAGCGCCCCAGAGTCCTCAACATCAGAATCCTCAGAGCCATCCATGTCGTCGTCCTCTTTGGCCAGGCGCTGATGGTGGACGCTTTCGGGGTCGCTGATTTTATAATAGAATAGGCCAGGTAGAATAAAGCTGATGGATGTAGATCCCGTGCTCCCAACGAAGGCAAGAACACGGTCAAGACTGCTAACCGAGAGAGCGGTGATATATGCTAGAGTGAGAATAATCGTAGTAAGGAGGGCAAATCTGAGATCAGACATCGGCGCAGTGCTGCCGTGGTCCCCACGTTGAGCAGGTGCCGAGTTCAGTAAGGGAGAACCAGCACGGCCGCCGCTTGAGTTGCCCCTGTTGGGTCGCCAGTTGAAGACGGCATCAAGAGAGGCACGACAAGGATGGACCTGTAGAGGAATGGAAAATAGGACGAGCACAACGATTGCTGCCTTGCCAATTGTAGAGGCGACTCCGGTGGGGTCTAAAGGACATCAGGTTAGTACAAAATGCTCATTGTGTTTTTCGTGATCCCAAGAGATTCTTACACATTGACACAATGTTTCCGACAATAGCATTACCAAAAGTGATATACCCGGTAATGGCCACCAAGACATAGATAGATGCCGCGGACCCAATACTGGATCCAACAACTCGCACAATGCTGGGTGGGGAGTTGTCCTTGATTTCGTTGATGATGGAGAACATCTAAATAGAGTTAGTGACCTGAATAGCAGTCAGGAAAGAGAATGAGAACGTACGTTCTGGTGGCATGTGTAAGCGAAAACAACCACCGGCAGTGCGCTGAGGGTCTCGACAGCTCCAGCCCATTGGATGACTCGAATGTTGCTTGGATCGGCATGGGGGTCGACGGAGAAGTGATAGATGACGAGAATGATGAGATACCCAATAGATACCAGGGCAACGATGCTGGTATACTTGAGTGAGTCGAGTCGCTTCAAGAAGCTCAGAGGAATGACCAGGAGCATAAAAGCAGTGATCCAAAAATGCCGGTCTACCAAATAGGGAATCTTGTCCGCGTTGCTGTTGAAGCCCAAGGCAACTCCAGGCATAAGGTCGCCTATGATGATCATGTATGACACTCCAACGCCGAAGCATTTAATAGCGATAGCCGCGTCAAAGATGACAGACGCATTTGGGTATGTCATCTGGGACAGGGCGAAAAAGGACGATGTTCCGCGGTCGAGGTAACGCGCGCATCGGGACTGGAGGTAGAGGCCAAACGCAGAGGTGAATCCAGACCAGAGGATAAGAAGAGTTCCTAGCATAATTCCCATGTGCGATAAAACTGAAGGCATGGCAAGCGTGCCGGCTCCAACGACTGCGCAACCAAGTTAGTAGCGTTTCGACGGTGTAAAAATCGAAGGTAGGGGTCGCGAACTTGTATTCAGCAGGTTGACGATGCTACTAAACATAGAGGCCTGCCCGCCATGGCCGTCTTTACCGGCTCGGCGTCGCGATCTATGAGCCGGAAGAGAGAAGTCAGTCGATCGGTCGGTCACTCCAATGCGAACAGCCAGAGTCCTCAGACTCGCCTCGACTCACCTTGACATGCTGCTGGAGCCCCCAGGAGAGGCGGCCCTATCTGAGATGGATTGGTAGTTCGTCATAGCCGGTCCCAATACGGCTTACTCAGTGGGCAGACGCGCCGCCCAACGGTCCTAGTGTCGCAACCCTCTGGCTGGTACTCAGCCGGAAGTTGGTCGAGTGACCAGCTGTCGGTGCCAATCTCCGGGGATCGCAGATGGTAGCCGGCGTACGACACTTAATACAAGCGATCTAGAGGGTGGCGATGCGTGTCTGCGGTAATAGCGAGCGTCGGAGGGATGATGGCGAACGAGCGGCGGCTGGCTGCCAGATGAGGTGAGGTTGAAGATTGTGATGACCGCTGCCAAATTGGCCCTGGCCGGGGGTTTCTACTAAGCCTGCGCCCTATTGAAAGCGCTGCGCTGGCCTGGCGTCTCCGACAGTGACTGCATTTCACAGCGGGGCGTCTCCGGACCCAAACGGCCGGCATCCGCAACCAATCACGAGGCTTGGGGCACATGGCCACATCTTATCGCGATTGCGCCACTCCGTATTCTTTCCGATGCATCTGTCGCCGAAAACAACAGGCAGAGAGTACAGTGAAGTCAAATATATACAGTATTTGTATTTGCGTTGTCATTGCTCCATGGCCTCGTATTGATGGCCTTTCCCATGCTGTGCTTTGTCTTACAGGCAAGACTTTTCCCGCTGAGGACCCGTCCAGGCACGGATGCAACTGTACTCAGTTCTAGCCTTGTGGTTGGTTGGTTCAAAGCCACCGATTCGGCACGCAACGCATTGATGGGACGGATAGAGCAGCGGTGCCTGATGGATATTTTGCAGAAAGGCTGCTTTGCGGCGATCCATACTCTCTACGTCGTAGTATTTGTTTCAATGAAGCACTTTGCACACCTTAGCCCGCCAATTTGATGTGGCGGTCTCTCGGCAGAAACAGGGCGTCTAAGAGGCACGTGTCCGTGCTGTGATACAACTGCGGCTTGGCGATATCTCCAGATACATGCATGTTACCCAGAAATATTAATAGCGTAGAGACTTCCGTAATCTTACAATAACCATCATTGATACAACAGGCGCCTCATTTATATTTTAATCCATGGATAGCTTATGCTGCTGCAGATGTGCGTGTCATTGACACCGCTGGCTGGCACTAACATTCAAGTGCTTGCAGCAGGCGCACTCAAAAAATCCAACGAATCACAGCACACTGCGCTAGCCCACCAACGCAGATGGAGCTTCACTCTGGCAGCTACTCCAAAGCGTCATAGTGCAACCAGCTTCCCCTTCTTCACTCAATTGTAACCCGCAAACCGCAGAGCAAACGCCCTTATTCGTCGCCTTTAACTCACAGGCCGCTGCCTGCCAATACGCAAAATGTCGGTGGAAATGGACGATCCCCTCGACAAAACGACCCTCGCGACCATCTCTCTGCTCGAATCACGTCTCCTGCGAATCGAGCATCTCCTCTACGGCACCACCGCCTCGCCCTTTTCAAGCCAGACTCAGCATGACGCTGCCCTTGCAAAGATGGACGGCTTAGAACGGCGATTCAGTAGAATGATTTCTCAGATCCGCGTCTATGCAGAGCTTCTCAAGATCTGTCAGTCAAGTCCAGTCCAGCGAAGAACCCCTCTCTTGAAGGGGACGTTTTCTAACCCCTTTGGCGCGATTAGACAAATCAAACCCAGATCTCTTCCACGCTCCTCTTCCCTCCCAACCTCCCTCCCAGCTCGACTCGGAGGCTGTCCAATCCATCGTCCTCTCCGCCGCCTCGTCGTTCCCCGCTACGCTCTCCGCCCTCACCGCCGTCAAGGACATCCCTATCCCTGAGTCCTCTACCAGTGCGAGTTTGATCTCGCTCACGCAGCGCATGAAGGCCATTGAAGCTACGCAGATTGCGCAAGCTGCCGAGATTTCTGCTCTACGAAGTAGGAGCGAGGCGCTTGTACGATCGTGGTACGAAAACGGCGCAGTGGTGAACTCTCAGGTATTGGCGCACACCGAGGGTAAGATCCAGAGGGTGGAGCGTGAAGTGAGAAGAAGAGAGCGAATCATTGAAGAGGAGAAGCAAGAAGAATGAGCTGAGTATGTCAATGGAGTGCATGCTATTCAACTCTGGACATCCGAGTCACCATCCTCTAAATGAGGGAGGGGATTCGATGTTGGCCGTCCAACTACAGTTTGCTTTTGACAACGAGATTTTGTTCCATGAAGGTATTCAGTGGTATGACGACGAAGAGCGTCACTGATCCCCCGAACCAAGTTTCGCATTGGCCCAGCCATAGTGCCAGAAGTGGGCGGAAGACACTATTCCCGGCTATTGAGCGACCAGGTGATGCAGTTGGATATTAGCCGAGAAGATGATCAAACCGACCTAGACACATGGTGACAAGATGAGTTATGAGACTGGAAATGAAAAGAAACGCATTATGAGAAATAGATACCCCGTGTTAGACTAGAGGCCGCCGTTCTCCCCGGTTTCGAAGTATCCTGAAGCCGATGATGAGGAGACTTCGGCTAGATTATACAAAGTCAATATAAATCCCCCGCTTACGAGAATTATCTTGAAAAAGCAGATGGTCCAATGAAAGCACTCCGATTGTATGCTAGCAGTCGTCATAGAGAGTAAATCTCCTGATAAGTTCAAACTCGTGGTGCTTCAACCTCCGGATCCTTGGTCCCCGCGTTTCAGCAACTCAGATGGATCGAAAAATGACACCGATAGCGCCACGCGTATCCCCATCTCCCTCTCTATTTCGTTTGAGCGAACTTAAAGAGAAGATACTTCACAGAACGGCAACTCTCAGCCGAATCAAACTTTCCACCCATGCCCTATTTCCAAGGTCGCGTGAGAACACCCTCCTATTCAGACTTCATGTAACAGCTATCACAGGCTAAGGGAGTCAATCACAAGACCCAAACCCGCCATTCAGCCCAGCCAAAAAAAGAAAAAAAAAAAAAAAAAAAAGGCTGTCACTGCCGGCACTCCGTGGCGTCTTGGTTTCGAACAGATTCAACTCCCGGCAATGCCATTGTCAAAAGGAACATTTTCTAGAAACCCCCCACATACACGTGCCGGACAGCAGCCAATGAACCGGCAGCGCGGTACGTACCCTCGGGTCCCGCTGGGCTGGGCTGGTGCCAGGCTAAAAGAGGCCGCCAAATGGATCAAAACTGGGCCTAGTCAGGGGTTTGATGGGGACTGGCGAGTTTCAATTTCAATGTCACAGGTTTTAGAAGTCATTTTTGTAGCCTTGTGGAGGAGGAGAGTTTGGAGGTTGAAAGGAATTTTTTCTAAATAATTTTTCATTTTGCTACTGTCTTTCTCACGTGTTAAATCGGGGAATTTCACCGATACCATTTTATTCTAATTACTGCTACGGTCACGGTAATACAGGTTCTACAGTAGACGTACTCGTATACTAACCGTCAATAGTTTGATCGTCAAGGATGTCCTTGGCTGCTAATCTGCGAGATTACCCATCTAGATACTGTAATTACTAGGCTCTACTCGTACCCAGATCCTTGGTACCTGGGTATGACTGTATTGGTACACGCGGCGGTCCTTGCACTTGGATTACTCTACAAACACTGAAGTAGCAACATCAAGAATATCTTGGTCTGCTTGTCTCAACACCTAGGCGTCAAGTAAGGATGGATGGCTCTTCCAACATCAAAACTGTAGCTTTGCGATGCAGTCGAGATAGTGAGCTACGGCTTGCCGAAACCTGGAGGCACAGATCGACTTGCATCCAATACTCGTGCTGCTCCAGGCCAAGCGCCTGCAAACCGGAACACAAGCCGGGCAAGACGGCAGCCTCATGCAGATCTGCTCCGTAGTGCAGTTCCGTGACAGCACTGGAACATGTCCAGCGGAGGAAAGAGATGCAGATGCACGACATTCTCCGCGCGCATCAGGTCGAAAGACAAGTGGAGCGGCGCCAGTCAACGAGGTGCCGTTCAAGCAGGATGCCGGCTTACAAGCATACATGATCTGTGTACAGGCGTCTACCGGTGTAGCCGAGGCTCGAATCCAAAGCACAGGCAGCTTCTACTGTAGATACACTTACCACTTCGTATGTTACCGTAGCCGTAGGTGCCTCGCTCACAGTCCAGTTCCCTCGAACAAGGCATTGGCCTCGCAGGCCATCAACGGCTGCAAGGCCCGTGTTAAGTGGGGGCAGTCGAAGCTTGAAACTCGTTGTGGAGGAGCGCATGATTCCCCTGCATTTTCCAAGGCCAGGGTCGCCACCTATCGTGAGCGTGTTAGTGCTGGCGCGAGACACGCCGCCGAATCTCAGACCGTCGCCATGGTCAGCGCCCGATTGGTGAGAAAGCACGGGAAGAGAAACGCAAGAAGAAGAAAAGAAAAAAAAAAGGAAAGAGAGAAAATAATCACTGCCGGAAGAGCGGAAGAGGCTCGCTGACACCGCTCAATGATTGATTACATGTTTTTGCAACAGCGGACCATTGCCCATGGTAGCTAAGGCCTTCACTTGGCACTTTTGCACAAACAGTTTGGTGTACAAGTATTCGTACGTACCTTTTGCAGAAGACGTGCGCGAACCTTTCAAGCCCAATGATTGTCACGGCTTCTTCTTTTCCCGGCGTTTTCGCTGCATGACATGCAAGGGCGGCGGAACCGAATTGTGGCGGGGAAGCGAATGACGACAGACGCAGAGCAGTGAAAAATGAATCGTCACTTGAAGCATCGTGGAGTGCATTCCTGGGAAAGGCCGCAGCAAAGGAGCTTCCACTACCATTCCTGTCCCGAGTTCAATCCCGTGGCGCGCAATCAGGAGGGTACCTGTGAGATGAGATGAGTAACAGTAGCAGAAGAAAAAAGATTGGATGTAAGAACATCCTTGAGATTAGCAAGAAGCGCTCGTGATTTCCCTATTGTCTTTGTGCAGCATCAATTGATGTGCATTCAATATCCATGATTGGATCAATTGGATCAGCTTTGTCGCAGTGAAAAAGCCAAGTACATGTGCTCAATGTACCAGCTCCGGCTTGTACTCGTACGTAACACCAAATAACACCTGCAGCGCCGTGCTCAGCCTCCGCCTTCCAGTCCATGAATTGATCCTATTGATCAGTTCAGCCAGCCTGCATGCTTGAACCTTTCATTTCGCACAGCCGAGCCACTCGATACGACACCATCAACCGCATCCTGCAAAGCACTCAATGTCCATGTACTCCGTATATTATTACTGGCACTAAACCCTGCACCCAATCGCCAGGCCCGGCCACATCCCGGCTGCGAATTAGAAGCGCTAGTGGCCACCGGACTCCTCGCGCATAATACAGGCACGAGGAGGTACATGCATGCCATGGCAGCTATCAATGCAAGTACAGTACCCGACCTCCACTGATTGCTTACCCAGAGCGAGCCTCAGCGCACAGGGCACAGGTACAGGCACAAGGCACAGGCACTGTCTGGTACCTTACAGGGCGAACTACCATGGAAGTACTCGCTCTCTGCAGTGGCTGCATTGTTGAGTGCTAACTCCAATTGTCGTGCTGGCTGGTACTGCAATCCTCGCTCCAGTCGTCTCCCTGTTTTCCTTCGAAACCTGCACAAACTCAACGGGTTTGCAGCTAGCCCAGCCCTGTTCGTGTTTCTTGCATCGCCACGTCGTCCATCCGTCTCCTTTGCATTTGATCTCCTCACCTTACCTACATACTGTACTGTCTCCATCGTCGCAAGCGCCGTCCCTAGGAATTCTGTCCCGGCGGATCTGCACCCACCGTTGACGCCTGTGCTGCCAAACATCCTCCACCTGGTCTTCCACTGTCTTTTTGGTGCCAAACCCCGTCGCACCAACTCCACCGCAGCCGTTTTCCTTTTCTCCCCCCTTCAATCCGTGCCATTTCTCCATCTTGCACCGACATCCGCCATTTTTTTTCTTTCTTTCAATCCTCTCTTGACGACTCGGCGACCCTCGCGAATTCACGTCTGACGCCGTCGCTTTTCCTTTCTTTTTTTTCTTTTTCTCTCTTCACTCGTTCTCCTGTCGGCTGTGCCGGACACCAGCTACGCGCATTACACAAACGCCCCCCAAAAATAAACACGTCCAGTCTGTTCTTCTCCCGCCTGATCGACAATCGCCTCGACCCTCAACGACACTCTTTCCCTAAAGCGCACCCAATTACGCCGTCGACTGTCGCATTCGGCCGCTCGACCCCCCGACCGACAAGCTGGCTAACTCTCTTATGCCCCCGTACTCGGTTACTTCGCCGTCAATACTCAAAATGGATCACTCCAACATCTACAGACGACGAGGCTTCCAGTCTGGCAACATTTTGGGAGACCCGTTTGCGCTCGCCACCACGTCTATTGCTTTTGTGCGTTCCGTCCCGCAGCCCTTCCCCCCTTTTCTCGCCGCCGCGTTGAATCGAAATGGTAAGCGTCAGAGCTAACGGCTTGTCTAGCTTGCGTGGCTTATCACCATTGTCGGATGCGTCATCGGCCAGATTCAAGAGACATCCGACGACCCATTCCCCAAGTTCGCTTGGTGGGCAAGTATATACAGCTTCTTCCTGATCATCGGCATTTTCTATGTTGTCGGCAGCGACACAATTCAAACCTATCATGTGGCGATTACGGGATACACTGCTGGAGGCATGGTGCTGGTAACCTCGTCCGTCAACTCGCTGGTATACTCAAAGAACGGAGCTAGAGAGGCTGCGGCTGCTGGCTTTATCCTCCTGTCCATGGTTGTGGTACGTTGTCCCAATCCACGCTGGTTGTTTTATTTTCCTTTGGGTGACATTCTTTTTCACACTTGGCGGATGTTAACATGTAATGCGCTCACAGCTCGTGTGGACTCTGTACTTTGGATCAACACCTTCTGCTACTCCCCGTGCTTTCCTGGACTCCTTCGCCCTGACCAAGGAATCGGCCACCATGCAGCGACAAACCATGAGCAACTATGGCGGAGGCATGGGCCGTCCCGAGACGTCCAATTCTGTCCAGCCTCCGCAAATGTACACATCTGCCCAGCTCAATGGCTTCGAAAATCCTTCTCCCGTTGGCGGCGCCTCTCAAGTCGGTGGAGGACGCGGCTCCAACGTTCCTGGCTTTGGTGCTGGACCGGCCCAGATCAAGGTGACGGGCCCTGACGCTGAAGTAGTACCACCCACCGAATATCCCTATCGAGCAAAGGCCATTTACAGCTACGAGGCCAACCCCGACGACGCCAACGAGATCTCCTTCGCAAAGCACGAAATCCTAGAAGTATCCGATGTCAGTGGTCGATGGTGGCAAGCGCGAAAAGAAACCGGAGAGACTGGTATCGCACCCAGCAACTATCTCATTCTGTTATGAGCCATGACAAAATATCCAAGCGGAGAGTACATATCTGGGAACGTGAGCCCTTCATGGATGTTCGAATTGGACAACCTTTGGATGGAGGTAGTGACACACCTACGGGTCTGGGCTACCATCTTCACATATACCCTTGTCCCCCTTCCCTTTTACTCTCCCGCGCTCTCTCTCTCTCATCTCACTTGACGTTGTGTTGGTTGTTTTTGTTCACGCCTTAGAGTCACGACTCCCGGGAATTTTTTGCGCAATCGGGCCAGGGATATATATTGGATGGAGTATATTTGGACGAGACCACTCATGGAGAATCGCCTACTACACCGGAGGGGGCAAACGCGTCAGCATTGCCTCTTCCTGTTTTGGCTCTTTGTCTCTGTTGTTTCCAAGTTGATTCTTTTTTCATTGCTCTTCTTTTGTCCATCTTATCATCGACGTACGAGACGGTTTTTTTTTTCTGTCCATTTTGTTATTTCGTCCCCTTCTTACGCTACCATCTGCTGCTGGAAAAACTCCTTTTTTATCTTTATGACTTCTACATATATCCCCCTCTACCAAAACGTGGAATCAAAAAGAAGGCAGCTAGACACGGTGGCTTTTTCTTTCTCTCTCCCTTTTTTTAGGCTACGATCTATTGTTTTTTTCGTCCTGTGTTTTCTTTTTTATCCATTTCTTCTTTGGCGGGGAGACTGAACGGAGGGGAGGGCCAAATGTGTACGTATGCGAATTGCTCCGATAAAAAAGAAAAGAAAGAAAAGAATCCGGGCTTGCAAGAAAGAAAGGCAGATACGGAATTGGCGCTGTTGGTAGAAAAAGTAGGGTCAATGTCTGCCCATGCAATTGCGATGGGGTGATGTTGGAATGAAAGTTTGAAATGATACCTGACTTTTGGTTGCAATGTGCACTTGTATGTCTAAGTTGTGAAGTTGGTTGGTTGTGCTTGGTAACAGTTGTATGTCTTGTGAAGTTGGTTGTTTATGCTTGGTACAGTTGGTGGACAAAAGTCTGCGACCACCTTGAAGCAAAATTGGTATGGGGGGGGGCATTTCGTTGAACTTCTATCACCCTATAGCCCCCGAAAGATGACGTTTAAAAGACTTGAATTCTCTCGAGAAATAGATAATACCTATTTTCCCAAGTGCAAGCAATCTTTCCATTGCTGATTATTTTGGTGGATTTAATTATGATTTTTTACAATATATGAGTTCTGGTGGAACTAATAGGGATGGTCGCAGACTTTTGGCTACTCACTATAACAGCTACGAAGGGTGTGATTGTAAGCACACGATGGGCTGCAGGAAATGGGAGTGGGATTCCAAGTGATACTGTTGGGAAAGCTGAGCTAGTAAAGCTTCGTGACGGGAGAGAGGGGGAAAAAAATTTTGAAAAAAAATTAAACATCTTCAAACAGCTAATTTCACAAGGGAGAGAAGGCAAAAGGAGATTGCCAAATGCGGAAGCTCACGAGGCATGCAAGGAGGAGGTGTGGTGATTAAATGTGTTCATCAAAAGTCGTGCTCGTAAAGCTAATAGTAGTAACATAATAGCCCATAACAACATGTTACTGAGATACGAAGCTCAGACGGCGGGCCCAGACCACTGCCTCCAAAACCAGGGAGGGAGCCCTCAAACTCTGGCGGGAAGGGGAAATGCTCAAAGCTGATAGGGCGAGACATGGCGGCCTCAAACGCGTGCGCGCAAGAGGCAGGTTTGCCCAAGCGCAATCGGAGGGCGGGCATTGCTCGTCAGACCGGTATGCGGGCAAGATTTCGCGGAGACAAAGGCATCGTGAAAGCCGATCCTGCCGGCGTTGTCGTGGTGGTTGAGGAGGGTGAGAGGCAAGGGCTCAGAGGCGCTGCTTTTGGGTGTCTCTGGTCGTACACCTATCCAAGAGACGGGTCGTCTTTTGACAGTTCCACACGAGTAGATTACCTTTAGCTATCATGATGGCACGCAGAGCTGCCTACTCTTGCACCTCACTATCGGTTCTCCAGCCGCTTTCTCAGTTCTCTTTCTTTCTGGAGCACCTCTAGCTCCAATCTCTCAATGCCATAACGTAGAGCTTCCTTACGCTGGCGCACAATCCGAGCGCGCAGCTTGTCCTGGCCTCGGAGCTGCCGGCTCCTTGTAGAAGCAGGCTTAGATGCGCTGCGTGCTGGTTCATCAGGCCTAGTTAACCGTCCTTGCTGTAACTCAGCCCGGGCTTTGAGCGTCTCAATGCGGCGTTCCTGACGTTCAACTTGAGCATCGGCGCGGCTGAGAAGAAAGGCGATGTAGGGCCCAATTTCGTCGCGCAGGGAAGCCTCAGCAGCAGCGAGTGTGGGCTGGGGAATGAGTTCGTAATGCTACGAAAGGGGGGGGTGGCCAGGTCAACGATAATGCACAACGTATTGTCGAACGCAGCTGGGCAACAGGGAGGAGCACATACTCGAACTGTCTTGAGGACGTTCACAAGGCGCGGGAAGTCAGATACGCCACGGTCAATGGTCTCCACGGAGGCCTCAAGGAATTTGAGAGAGTTGCGCAGCGAATCGACGCAGTCGGCATAGGTGGCCGTGCCGGCCGAACCCGTTCTGGTAGCCATTGGGGCCCGGAGTTCACGATGCCGAGATTTCGGGAGGAGTTGGGAGGATGGAAGGCAAAATAGGATGAGCCCAAGCCCGATTCGTGGAGAGGTCTCTGGCTGGAGAATGTGGGGAAGATGCCGTGGTGTTTTGTGGTCTCGTATTGTCTCGCGGAGGGCTGGTGCGAGCCCGCGTGCGAGTGCGAGTGCGAGTTTGAGTGAGAGCTTGAGGGTAGGGAGCTGTGTGTGTCCGTCGTCTCCAGCTCTACAGCACTTCAGCCACGATCGACGAGTGTTGCAGCTTTTGCATGTGTCGATTGAGGTGGATGGTGTTTTGGAGAGCCTGACAGAAGCTGAAGCTGGTGATGTTTACATGTGCAAGTAGGTTTGCGACAGGCCAGGCCTTGCGCCCCGCCATGGACTAAAAGGCAAGCACATGCACCGCACCTGCCGACTAGCAACAGCCCCACACCAGCTCTGCCGTGGCTCCGGCAGGCGCATCTCGGTGCTGTGGGGTAGTGCCTGCCTCGATACCAACAACAGAACGGCGAGGGAAGGTGCTGAAGATTCTGCCAACACGTGAGCCTGACTTATCGGGAACTTCCCAGATCTAGAACCAGCTGGTTTGCTCAGAAACTCAAACCTCTTCAACTTCTGCCTTGCTCTGCCCAGCTCCCCTCCTTTGGCTCCTTGCACCCCCTAATACAGCTCGTCTTGATTCGCCATGTCTCGCCCTCAAGCCTGCGCCTAATCGCTCTGGAATGTCGCCTCATACCAGGTCATCGTATTTGCCCTCACGCGCTCTCGAGCAACCGCCATAACGGGCTCCAGCCTCGCCCCAAGTTACCAAAGTCCGGTCAACCCTGGGCCGTTTGTTCGACAACCCGCTCGCCCGCCTCTCGGCAACTCATTGTTCATCCTGACGCAGGATGGCGATGATCCTTGTAATTGGAAGCTAGATGCTGAATATAGCATCTCGATCTTCGGCTCTAGCGGTGGGTCAGTCCGTATCGGCGAGAATCTACGGCTTAGTACCGCTTCCTATCCGGCTCAAGAACTTTCCATGCTCCTGTTCCAATGCTTCTAAAGACCGTTTCAACTGTTGTCGTGTGGAAGGTGTAGTTGGTATCCATCGTGTAAGTCCATACACGATACCTCGACTTCCCAGGCTTGGTTCAATAACAATACAACTAACCCGAGCCCCCTAGAAATTTGCGGCACATATGCTAATGACTCTGGTTACGCATGCCAGCGAAGCCATCGTGAAATGACCCGTGTCCCTTTGAATGGAGCTAATAGGCGATGAGATACCATCGTGACCTTGCCCAACCAGAGGAGCGCCTTGCGCCGCCCAATCTGTGCGCTCCCGTCTCTTCTCTTTCTCATCTCACGATACCACCCCGTCCGGGGATGCCGTTCTCAGTTGGCACACCCCCTCTTTCGACGCTTGACACCCCAATTCTATGACTAAATGTACAGTAACTCTCCCTTGCCGACTGAGACGTCTTGTCCGCCAGCCATTCTCCCATTGCTACCTTTCAGGCGCCCGCAGCAATGAAAATCACTACTTAATGCCGGGTCTCCTGTGTTCTCCAGTTATTATGTTCCAGCCAACCCCAGCTTTGATTGTCGGAGTTGCTCCCGCTGTATAACAGGGCTTGACTATACTTCTTCATCTTCAGCTACACATCTTATCAGGTTCTTTCAAAGTATTCGCCGGAGTCGTCTTTCCCCGACATGGTCATAACAAGCTTACAGAATGAGCCACGGACTCGATAACCTCACCGGCCCCGCCACCGAGGGTATCGGTCTGCGCTTTCTAAATGAAGAATGGAACGATAGCATCTCAAACGACCACCCATTCACCATTCAATGGAACGAGTCGCTGGATGGGACTCAGCCAGAGCTTGGGCTGTTCAAAATTACATATCCCAAAGATGGCGTTATCGCATACGAGCTGGTATCGAATCTCACAGGTGCGTATTACGGTCTCATTGAACTACTTAATAGACGATATCGACAAGTCCTCACAGCTTTTTAGGCAGCATGAACAATGAAAATGCAACATGCTTGTGGACACCAAGCCACTTGGATGATGAATTATATACTCTATGGCTCTCATCCTCTCGAGATGCTCGCGCAAATTGGACGACGTCTCCGCCTTGGAGACTAAAAGAAACTGTAAGCTTCTCGATACTCTTGATTCTCCTAGAGGGCCGAAAATTGACCATGGATACAGCCTCGACATTCACCTCATTGGGCCGCACCTATCGTTATTCCCATTATTGTGTTGCTCGCAGTATACACATTAGGACTCACCACCTGTATCGTATATCGACGTCGCAGAAAGGCGAGACGTGAGAGAGAGAAAAGCAAGGGAAAAGATCTTGAAAAGGACAAATCAAGCCAGACGCATCTCCTTGGGGACGCGGAGAGACATCCCTCAGTCGATACTGTCCTCACTATACAAAGCTTTGATGACCCAGATGAAGCCAGGAAGCCGCACATTTGGCTCCTGACACAGTCGGCCTCAGGATCTCTTTTACTATCATCTCCGAGCAGGAAGAATTCCGACGCAACATTGGTCTCAACTACAACGCGAGCATCCGATCAAGTCCTCATATCCCCTATCAGTTTATCAGAGCAAAGCCTTCAAAGCCCCACAAGTATAGGTTCTGACAGGACCCTCGTCACGCTATCAGACCCGAGAGACCAAAGGGCCGTCATCGCCAGTAAACTAGGGCGTTCCGTGAGAGTGATTATACCTTCTGACGATGTACAAGAGTGAGATTTGGAGATGCGTTTGTGTAAGCATATATCGGGCATTTGGCAATGTGAAGAATTTTGTATTAATCGCCAGCTGGTACCCCGCGGGACTTTAGCTGGTGTTGCATCGATACTAAAAACGCGGAAAATGGGCGAATATGACGATGTTTGGATTCAGGGGTTTTGTTAACTGTGGACTTTGGCTACCCATAAACACGATGGATATATTTGTAGCATGTAATGATAATTTTGGATTTCTCTCTTTCTTTCAGTTGACGTTTGCATACAGTTCACTGGTGACTAAAGCATGACTGCCCAATATATATATATTTGTATTGGTATTGTTGGCCAAGCAGTAGAGAGCATACGCTCTCTGTCACACTCGACTCAATCTTCATGTCCAATGACATCTCATCTAAGAAAAACCCCCCTAGTCTAAAGACTAGGTAAAAAGCAAAAAGTAAAAAACATAAAATTGCAGATTCTCTCATATCATCCCTTTCCCAATGTTGAGATTAGCCGGCGCTTTCATAACCATAAAATAAAAACCATAAAATTGTATATCTTTCGATCTTTCTCGTTTTCTCTTTTACCCCGCTATGCGCCGTTACGTTTTTATATATAATAAAAACCATGTTGAAATGTTTGGTTCCCCTCCTTTTTGTTCCCTCCCGATTTGTCCTGTGTTTTAGTTTGTTTGTTTGCCCATTTTGAAGAAATCCGGTGAAGGGGGTTCTTTTGGGCAAAAGTCTAATTATGTCGTGATATTTACTGAATGAATGATGCTTGAATATTTGGTTGAAGAAAAGTGACGGTGGTGGTGGGAGTTCTCCCTCGCCGCATCAAGTCGTGTCTGGTGATTTAAGCAGAGCCGGTGGTGTCCTCGACAGGAGGGCATGTGCAGAACAGGTTGGTATCGCCATATGTATCGTCTACACGGCCAACCGTCGGCCAGAACTTCTTCTCAAGAAGATAAGGCAGCGGGTAGGCGGCCTTCTCCCGAGAATAAGGTCTGTCCCACTTGCCCTCCGCATCGCCGAGGATCAAGTCCCTCTGCGGGTGCGGGGCGTTCTTGAGCACATTGCCCTCCTTGGGCTGCTTGCCCTCCTCAACCTCACGAATCTCGTTGCGGATGCTAATCATGGCGTCGATGAAGCGATCCAGCTCCTCCTTACTCTCACTCTCGGTGGGCTCAATCATGAGCGTGTTGGGCACAGGCCAGCTCATAGTAGGAGCGTGGAAACCGTAGTCCTGGAGACGCTTGGCGATGTCGATAGCCTCGATGCCGGCGGACTTCTGGAAGGGGCGGGCGTCGACGATGAACTCGTGAGCGCAACGGCCCTGGTCGTTGGTGTAGAGGATGGGGTAGTGGTCCTTGAGGCGGGCCAGGATGTAGTTGGCGTTGAGAAGAGCAACAGTGGTGGCCTTGCGCAGACCCTCGTCGCCCATGGTAGAGATGTAAGCCCAGCTGATGGGGACAATGCTGGCACTGCCAAAGGAGGCACTGGAGACGGGTGTCTGGGTGCTCTTGTGAGGCAGGTAAGGGACGAGGTGCTTCTTGACGCAGATGGGACCAATACCAGGGCCACCGCCGCCGTGAGGGATACAGAAGGTCTTGTGCAAGTTCAAGTGGCAGACATCAGCGCCGAGAGCGCCAGGAGAAGTGAGTCCAATCTGAGCGTTCATGTTGGCACCGTCCATGTAGACGAGACCACCATACTGGTGAACAATGTCGCAGACCTTTCGGACCTGAGGCTCGAAGACACCGTATGTGCTGGGGTAGGTGATCATGATGGCGCCCAACTCAGAAGCATGCTTCTTGCACTTGGCTTCGAGATCCTCCAAGTCGAGGTTGCCGGTCTTGGTGTCACACTTGATGGGGACAACGCGCATGCCAACCATGGCAGCGGACGCAGGGTTGGTACCATGGGCAGAAACAGGAATCAAGCAGATGTCGCGCTTGTTGCCGGGTTGCTGCTCGTGGTATTTGCGAATGGCCCGGAGACCGGCAAACTCACCTTGAGCACCGGAGTTGGGCTGCAGAGAAGTAGCATCCATGCCAGTCAGGGCAGCCAGCTGAGCAGAGGTAGCGTCAAAGAGCCTCTGGTAGCCCTTGACGCAGCTGTGTGGAGCGTGAGGGTGGATGTTGGCGGTGGTTTCTGTGCCAATGAGCTCCATTTGAGTAGTACCGTTGAGCTTCATGGTGCAAGATCCAAGGGGAATCATGGAGTGAACCAGGGACAGATCCTTGGACTGGAGGTGGTGCATGTAACGCAGCATCTCAGTCTCGCTGTGGTGGGAGTTGAAAACGGGGTGAGTCAGGAACTTGGACTCTCGGCGAACAGAGTCAGGCAGGCTCTTAACGAGCTCTTCAGATGACTGCGCGAACCCTTCCTTCCAGCACTTGTTGGAGACATCGAGGTCGGCGTCGCTGTGGTTCTTGTAGGCAACGGTCTGGAAAGCCTTGACGATGCGAACAAACAGCTTGAGAGTGAAAGTGGTGGGAACTGCCAGGACAAGCTCGTTGGGAGACCAGGCCTTGCCGCTGCTGATGCCTTGATCCATCAGCTCACGGCGCAGAGCCCGGCAAACAACAGGCTCGTCGAAGTAGAGGGAGACGGTGTCGGAGAGAACTTTGCCGTCGGCGTCAACGGAGCGGGATGAGACATTCAAGCCGTAGTGCTGGGCGGCAGCCTGAATCATGCGGGCGTGGCGGAGGTTGTTGACGGCCATCTCCTTGAGCTGCTCGGGGCCGTGGTAAATGGCATACATGGCTGACATGTTGGCCAGAAGAGCCTGGGCAGTGCAAACATTGCTAGTGGCCTTTTCTCGTCGAATGTGCTGCTCACGGGTCTGCAGAGCCAAACGGAGAGCTCGGTCTCCGCGACGGTCTCTGGAAACACCAATCAAGCGGCCGGGGAGTCGTCGCTTGCTACCCTCCTGAACAGCCATGAAAGCAGCGTGAGGACCACCGTAGCCCAAAGGAACACCGAATCGCTGAGCATTTCCGAAAGCAATATCAGCACCCCACTCGCCAGGAGGAGTGAGGAGAGTCAGGTTAGAGAGATCGGTGGCGGCACTCAGCAGGGTGCCCTGCGCATGAGCAAGCTCGGCCAGCTCCCTGAAGTCGGAAACACCTCCGTTTGAGTCGGGATACTGAACCATGACACCAATCAGGTCATCGCCGAGAGCCTTGATCTTCTTCTGGGCATCTGGAGCACCCAGATCCAGGACCTGAATGTGAATTCCAAATCCTTCAGCGCGGCCATGCATGACCCTGATGGTGGCGTCGTGCACCAAGTGAGAAACCACATACGTCTTTCCAGGTCGCTTCTGTCTCGAGGAGGAAAGACTGGTCAGAGACATGGTCATGGCCTCGCTGGCAGCAGTTCCCTCGTCAAGCAAACTGGCATTGGCGACGGGAAGGCCGGTCAGGTCAGAGATCATGGTCTGGAAGTTGAGAAGGGACTCGAGACGACCCTGGCTGATCTCAGGCTGGTAGGGAGTGTAGCTGGTGTACCAAGCCGGGTTCTCCAGGACGTTTCGCTTGATGACGGCTGGGATCTCAACGGGGTAGTAACCACCTCCGTTCATCCACGTGCGGACGTCGTTGGATGAGTTCATGGCCTTGAAGGCCTTGACGATTCCAGACTCGCTGAACACGCGAGCCTGGATCGTCTTCTTGGGCGGATCCAGAACATCTGCAGGAATAACCTGGGAAACGAAAGCATCCAGAGTCTCAGAACCGGGGCCGAGAACCTTGAGCATCTCCTGGATCTCTTCGTCGCGAGGTCCAATGTGGCGAGCGCTAAAGTCCTTCCATGGCAGCTTGTTGGCAGCACGAATGTCTCTCATTTCCTTGTAAGCAGGATCCTCCTGCAGAGACTCAAAAGGCGGTCTTCTGCCATCCCGGCTTGCGGCGCGAACGTCGGCAGCCGTCTGAGTGGTGTAAGTGAGGTTGCGGACGGACAAAAGGGAAGCCTGTCCGCGAGCGCAAACCCTCGCTTCGTGTCGGGCCAGCGCCAGCGATGGGCGAAGGGAAGCCCCCCGTGCGATAAGCAGCCTGGAGGCCATGGCCGCCACGATGATGTGAAGAAAGGGATGAAGAGCAAAACAACGGAGCCAGATAGATTCAACAGGTCTCCCTCAATGGCTAGGAAAAGAAAAAAGAAGGAAGAAGAGAAGGAGGTCCAACGACACGAGGGAGGAAAAGCAAAGAAATTAAACCGAAGCCGCCCGGACGATAAAGATTTGCTCTAATCAGTTCCCCCCCAGAAAAATGAGATGACGGCGCCTGCGTGGTCCGTAAATGGCTGTCCAAGAGGCCGTGGCGGAACTTTCGTGGGGCAATCCGGCACCCGTGATAGCGCTAAAAGTTGAAGCCCTCGCCGGCAGCGAGTCGAACAGGCGATCCTATATCGTTGGGGGAATCAGGCCACGTCCGATGGATGAAGAAAAAGGACTAGAGCAGGTGAGAATAGTAAGAAAGTGAGAAGACGGTGAGCACAAGACAAGCAACAAGGTTCCCTTTCCCTCCGACATTGGGATCAAGATGCAGCGTGAGCCGGGGCATCAGAGCCATCTTATCTGTGTAGTATCGTAAGTAATGCGCCGAACGCATCAAGGTATCACCAGGCACAGGGGCATTTGGCCTATTCCCTTTTGCTCTTTTTTCCCCAATTCCTTTCCTCGTTATTTTCGTTCTCCATTCCCTCTTTCGCTTCCCCAGAGCCGAACATCGCAGCAAAAGGCCAATGACCAGCCTGATAACTTTCCGCTTTCCGTCGCTCAGGGTCCCGTCCAGGCCTTGGTTGGTACATCCAAACATCCTCCACGGCTGCGGTGGTCCGTAATACTGGAGTCGACTCCGCAGGCTGTTGGAGTAACTGGCCAGGGCTTGGATGCTTGGAGCATAGTGTGTCCACGACTCGTGCCCACTAAAAAAAAATCGATGCTAGAGCTTAATCTTTCTCCCGAGTTGGAGGTTTTTTTGCGCAAGCTAGAAGTTTTGGTTAGGTGATG